GCGTCCGAGAGCCCGGTGCACCGCCGCGGCTCCTTCCCGCTGGCCGGGCCGGGCCCCGCGCCAGCGCCACCGGGCTCGCTGCCCGAGGAGGCCCGCATAGACTTGAACCCCTCCTTCCTGGGCATCGCCCTGCGCTCCCTGCTGGCCATTGACCTCTGGCTGTCCAAGAAGCTGGGCGTATGCGCCAGGGAGCGCTCGGCCTGGGGCAGCGTGCGGCCCTTGATGAAGCTGTTGGAGATCTCGGGCCACGGAATTCCCTGGCTGCTGGGCACCCTCTACTGCCTGTCCCAGAGCGACAGCTGGGCGGGTCGCGAGGTGCTGATGAACCTGCTCTTCGCCCTGCTGCTGGACCTGCTGCTGGTGGCCCTCATCAAGGGGCTGGTCCGCAGACGCCGGCCGGCTCACAACCAGATGGACATGTTTGTCACCCTCTCGGTGGACAAGTACTCCTTCCCCTCGGGCCACGCCACAAGGGCGGCCCTGGTGTCGCGCTTCATCCTGAACCACCTGGTGCTGGCCATTCCACTGAGGGTGCTGGTGGTCCTGTGGGCCTTCATCTTGGGCCTCTCCAGGGTGATGCTGGGGCGGCACAATGTCACTGACGTGGCTTTTGGCTTTCTCCTGGGCTACCTGCAGTACAGCATCGTGGACTATTGCTGGCTGTCGCCCCACAATGCTCCAGTGCTCTTTGTACTGTGGAGTCAACAGTGACACCATCGCGTAGATTACGGCACCTGGGGAGGCCATTCCGCTTTCCCCTCTTAGAATTTCAGGCTTCCCTTGGGATCTGGGGGATCCCACCAGCTTGATGTGTGGCTAGGCTGGGGGACATGTGGCCATTGTTAAACACAGCCATATTAGGGAAAGCAAAAAAATGCTTCCATTGTATTTATTCAACTTTGTATGTCCCCAGGACGACTGCAAAGAAACCAAGCTGGGGTGATTATAATGTTGCTGTTTTGTTTTTTTAAAACTGACATTAGCAAAATGTGTGTTTTGTAGTAATCCCATAAATCAACATATCACTTGTAGATTGAATTTTGGAAAAGTAACATGATCTTCATTCTGTAAATATACATGCAGATGAGCCCCGTGCTAATCCTAGCCCTTGTCTTAAGGCAAACTTCAAACAGTTTTTTAAGAGTCTCAGACGTACGTTTTCCGAATTTATTCCTTGAAGGTCTGTTGCCACAGTTGGAGAGAGTTCTCAATCTTAATTTTCTTGGTAAGGTGTTTTTATATTATTGTCTCTTCCATCTTTGCTGATTGGGTATTGAGAAGAGAGGTGTAGTACTTGTCTTTCTCTCCTTTGCCTCCAACCTCCCAAAAGAGCTTTACAAAGATGTTATTTCCCACTACTTTCTAATACTGTCTTTTATCATTTGGAGGACAAGCCGAGAATTTAGAGAAGAAACACTTAAAAGTGGACCTATCTGAGGTGCCAGTAGAAAAGGAAGGAGGGGACTATGTCCACATGCTTAGTTCTGTTGACAAGAACATGATAGTATGACAGAAGCTAGAGATGCTGAATTGCTGGGCAAAGTCAGAGGAACTGAGAGTTTGGGGAAAGGCTGACCCCATATTTATGGTCAGTGGACCAGTATGGCAGGGATGGGGCCTTCTACTGAGTAATGTTTCTTTGTTGGGATAATCGGAAGAAAGGCCTGGCAATCTGCTTCCGAAATATCAGCCACTGAAAACCCTATGGAGCTCTAACACACATGGGGTGCCATGAGTCAGAGTCAACTCTATGGCAACTGCTGGTTTATTGGGGTAATAAAATGGGAAAATAACGCAAGAGTGTAAGCTTTCTCACATATACAAGGATGACCCCGTATACTATAGTTTTTCATATGGAATTCTGTTTCCCTCAATACAGCACTCTTTAGGTAACAGTATTTAACTTGAAATTCATCAGGAGGAGGCTGCTGCTATACCAGGCACAAGGTCTAACTCCTAAATTTCCGTTTATATTGACCAAAAACCAAAACACTAAATCCATTGCCATCAAATCTAATTCAGACTCATAGTGAACATATAGGACAGAGTAGAACTGCCCCGTAGGGTTTCTAAGGCTTTAAATCTTTATGGAAGCAGACTGCCCCATCTTCTCCCTCGGAGCAACTGGTGAGTTCAAACCAAAAACCTTTTGGTTAGCAGCGGAGCGCTTAACCACTGCGCCACCAGAGCTCCTCTTACATTGACCATTACATTTAAAGTGGTTTATCCATGGTGCCTTCCCGAATCACAAGACCAAAGACCTCCAAATGCGGATGGACTCCACTTTTTATTCTTTGACCAGGAAAGACAAAGTTGTATGCTTTAAATGCTGCTCTACCTAAAAAAAGAAACTTTGAATTACCTATGCAACTGGTGTCAAGATTACTCCTTTCTAAACAGAAAAGATTGTGGACTTAGTCCTACAGAGGTGCTGGTGCAGGTTCTGATGGGCTGGAAGAGTGGACTGTTGGGGAGGAGAGGCTCGCTGGAAGAGAAACAGAGACTCAGAGAAAAAAAAAACACCCACATTCCCACCACACCCTGAACACCAGCTACCTCTTCACTTGCTCAATCAGCCAAACTGAAGCGCCAAGTGTTTGGGTTTTGTTTAACCTTAGAGGGATGCTTTCTTTTCATTGCAGCAATATTCAGGCCAGATATTTGGAAGCAATGGTATTTCCTCTTGGGGTGTTCTCAAGTCTGAATATTGGGATTTTGAAATAAGGTACCCTCTGGTTCGTGGTTATACTTCTGGAATTCCCTGTCTTGCTGGGGCCTGAGTGTGCTGCTTTTAAAGCACAGCTCAATTCACCTGATGGATTTTGGAACATCCCACGTACCACAGTACCATAATTGTAAACTGAGGAATGCTTTTTAAAAATCAAAATAAAATTAACCAATAATGTTGAATGAAATGAGACGAAAACTTGTTTACTTTTTGCTTTTGTGAGGAGTCGTTGTTGTTGTTAGGTGCGGTCGAGTCAGTTTCGACTCGTAACGACCCTGTGTATAACAGAACGAAACACTGCCCGGTCCTGCGCCATCCCCACAATTGTTGTTCCATTGTTGCAGCCATTATGTCAATCCATCTCACTGAGGGTCTTCCTCTTTTTTGCTGACCCTCTTCTTTACAAAGCATGATGTCCTTCTCCAGGGGCTGGTCCCTCCTGATGACGTCCAAAGTAAGCGAGAAGTCTCACTATCCTCGCTTCTAAGGAGCATTCTGGCTGTACTTCTTCCAAGACAGATTTGTTTGTTCTTCTGGCAGTCCACGGTATATTCAATATTCTTCTCCAACATCGTAAATCAAAGGCATCAATTCTTCTTCAGTCTTCCTTATTCATTGTCCAGCTTTCCCATTCATATGAGGTGATTGAAAATACCATAGCTTGGGTCAGGCACACCTTAAGGTGACAGCTTTGCTTTTTAACACCGTAAAGAGGTCTTTTGCAGCAGATTTGCCCAATGCAATACGTCGTTTGATTTCTTGACTGTTGTTTCCATGGGCGTTGATTGTGGATCCAAGTAAAATGAAATCCTTGACAACTTCAATCTTTTCTCTGTTAATCATGATGTTGCTGATTGGTCCAGTTGTGAGGATTTTTGTTTTCTTTATTTTAAGGTGTAATCCATACTGAAGGCTGTAGTCTTTGATCTTCATCAGTAAGTGCTTCAAGTTCTCTTCACTTTCAGCAAGCAAGGTTGTGTCATCTGCATATTGCAGGTTGTTAATGAGTCTTCCTCCAATCCTGATACCTAGGCTGACTCTAGGTGGTGCTAACTGAAAGGCTGGAGTTTCAGGTCCACCCAGAGGCACCTCCGAAGAAAGCCCTGGGGATCTACTTCCAAAAACTCCGCCACTGAAAACTCTGTGGAGCACAGTTCTACTTTGACACCCATGAGGTCACCACTGAGTCAGAATCAATGCGCAATGGCAACTGTTTTTTTATGGAGGCGAATCAAATTTTCCATGGCAGTATACTGTTGGCACTGTGCTTGTGATCATGACCAGCAGACAAGCTCCTAGTAGCTTGGAATCAAATCTACATGATAGTCCATCGTGACTACAGAGGGAAGGATTGGAAAAGATAAACTGCAATCGGGAATGACTGACCCCAAATAGGAACAATGGAGTAACTACCACAGCACCACACTTAGGAACAATTTGTTGGATAATTAAAAAACATTTTCTTGACTGATCAATTGATCTCCCTTTTGGAATTAGCAAACCAGAGCCATTTCTAGGGGCAAAAGCTTAGAAGACACTTGGTTCATAGCAGTGGTAAATTATCAGAAAGTGATGGGGCTTCTTTAAATTAAATGATTCCCTAGTTATTTAAAAGAGTTTTTAAAACCCTTAACCTATATTTATCCTGAAAAAGAAATCAATATCCTACTTGGACTGGATGCAGGGATATTTTAAAAGAACAGAAAAAAAAAAATCAGGATAAAGCTAAGAAACAATAGGTTTGGGGGGGAAAAAAAGTTCGAAGAGGCTGAGTTGAATTAAGGTTAGGAAGTCCAGGAAGACCTATGTAGATAATCTTAGGGACAGAGGTACGAGTTGTCTCAACGACAATGGTGTGTGTGTGTGTGCTAAGTGGAGAAGGGGTGAGGAAACGACCCGAGACCCCTTAGGAAGCTTGATGGGTCGGTGGAACCCAGGGGAAAGGGTCTGACTTGGGGCAGGGAGGGGACGTTCGTTGATCTCTCTTACCGCCCGGATCTGCAGCCCCACCACCACCTCCAGAGGCATCGTTCCCTGCGTGGGCGAAAAGAGCGGAATGAAAGATCCTTTTGTGCTGAGCCTCGTACCGATTTTTCTTAGTTTAGTTCAATCCCTAGAGCAAATGTTCGCAGCAGCTTCCCCAGTCCCCCACCCCCTCGCATCGCCATCCGTGCCCCCCAAGCCCGGGTCCCTCCCACCGGGACAGGTCTCACACCGCCCGAGCTAGAGTCTCGGCTTCCAGAAGGCGGAAGCGTCGCGTTGCCATGGACACTCAAACGCGCAACCTTCTACCTGGAACGCGAACGCGGCCGGGCGCAGCGCGCGCCCCGCGCTCGGCTTGGAGCGCAAGGCCCGAGCGTCCGCGTCCCTGGCCGGAGACTGACCTGATACCGGCCGGGCGGCTGGATTCGGAGATCCTAAGATAGCTATTTCCTTTGCACCAACCTCTTCCATCAATTCTCTTTATGACCCCAATCACTATCTTAAAATGTTGACAGTTTCCGTTCTAAAAGTGGAATGTGATTGCAGCCTGTTATAAATATTATCCCTTTTTAGTATCCATAAGACACCCAAACCCTGGGATTTCCATAACAATGCAGATTTAATATGATAGCCTGCCCCTAAAGGTACTCTCCTGCTTATTAAATCTGATGAACCTCGCATTTGGTTCGGAAAACATGGCCACCGTCAGTAATAAAAAATTGAACATGCATGCAAATTAGAAATGCAAGGATAATTCTTAAAGGTTTAAAACTTAGCTATCCTGTGTTATCAACCATAGAAATATTCGCCAGTCTTTCTATTCATAGCATTGTTCAGCCTTTCCTGGGGTTTAGTTTATCTAAGGCAAGCTTTGAATGACGGTGTCTCCTAATGTGTTACTTCGTTTGCCCAAGCCACGGTTACCCTCTAAAAAGCGTCAGAGGTGGCCGCCACAGAGGGTTCTTAACTGGCAGGGAAAACTCCTCCCCCCACCGCCCCCATTCACTGCACTTGACAGACTAAAAATGAAGGAAAGGAGGAGAGAGTGGCTACCTCTGGCCAATATGAAAAATCTGGAAGGGCCAATGCTGTTTCTGGAAAAGAAATAAAAATTGTGATGAGTCATTTATTACTAACATTTTGCTTTGGAGGTTTACACAGTTGAAAATATTGCAGAAAATATCTCCTGAGACACGAATTAGTTATCCATTTTGGAAATCAGACTTCCTTTCCCTGGAAGGGACGAACTCAGCATGATGAAGGTGGGTACATTGTGTCCTCATCCAATTCCTGGCGCTCTATCTGCACACCAAGGGGTAAGGCACACAGATGGTGCCCAGTCCCTGCAGTGTCCAGAGCACTGATCTGGGGACTCACCATGGCTTGCTGACACCCAAACTAGTACCCTGATAGATGGGGACAGGACCTGTCTTGACCCTCCAGCCTCCTCACAGGCAAGTCACCGACACTGATGTGAAGACATCCAGGAGAGTGAGGCTAAAAGAGATGAATAGATAAGTGGCCAGTTGCTTAATGGAAGGAAGGAAACAATCTTTCCTGAGGGCCTGCAGAGCGCTAGGCACGTTGCATGTGCTAATTCATTTAATCCCCATGATAACTCTTTGATGGAGGGATCATTATCTCTATTTTACAGATGCAGACTCTAAGGCCTTTCGCCCAAAGCCGCACAGCTAAGAAGGGGGGGCAACCACATGTGAATCCAGGTATGCCCTCCCCCACCATTGCCCCTGGAACACAGACATTTGTTATGGACTGAATTGTGTCCCCCAAAAATAGGTGTTGAAAATCCTAACCCCTGTAGTGGTTATAATCTCATGTGGGAATGGGTTTTGTTATGTTAATGAGGTAGTATTAGTGTAGGGTTTGTCTTAAATCCATCTCTTTTGAGATATTAGAGAGATTAAACAAGCAAGCAAGAGGGTACAGTTAGGGGAAGATAGATGCCGTACCACATGGAGATCACCAAGGAGCCAAGGAACAGAAGCTAAAGAGACAAGGACTTCCTCCTCCAGAGCTGACAGAGAAAGACTTCCCCTAGAGCCAGCGCGCTGAATTCCGACTTCTAGCCTCCTAACTGTGAGAAGATAAATTTGTTTGTTAAAGCCACCCACTTGTGGCACTGCTGTTATAGCAGCACTAGAGAACTGGGACAGCATCCTAGTGAGCCCTAAAGGCACGATGTCCCATCCTATGCTCTTCCTTTTTTAACTCTTGACATAAGCTGACTCTCCTGGCTTGGTTTCTAGGACATGGCCCTCTTCCAGTCTCCCTCCAACTCTCTGGCCACTTTTTCCTCTGTCCACTTGTAGGGTTAGCCTCCCCCACCAGTTTCGAGGGCCTTTCCTTGTTCGCTCTACCTTTACCAAGGGTGCCATGCAATGTAGGTACGGATTAACCCATTCACAGATGTACATATCTTACCCAGGCCTCTCCTGCTCTCCCGACAAGGTCAAGTCTCACTATCACAAACATATGTATCTCCCCTTTTACCTTTCTTCCTGTGACCACGGATTAGTATTTGTCTCCATAAACCGTAAGCTCTGCATGGGTATGTGTTTGTATCCTAAATGCCTAGCATATTTTACCTGTTGCCATCAAGTTGATTTCGACTCATAGCGATCCTATAGCACAGAGCAGGGTTTCTGCCCCATAGGGTTTCTGAGGCTGTAATCTCTATGGAAGCAGACTGCCCCATGTTTCTCCCACAGAGGGGCCGGTGGGTTCGAACTGCTGGCCTTTTGGGTAAGCGCTCAGCTCCTTAACCACTGTACCACCAGCGCTCTTGAAATACCTAGCATAGCAGATGCTCAATAAATATCTTTGAGTAGATGCTAAATGCAAAGATGATCCAGCCAGTCTGTAGGAGCTAACAGGTAAAGGGAAGCCCCACCATGTCAGGGCAAAGCTAAATTTGCAGAATGGAAAAGAGCCAGGCACGGCTACTTCTGCTAGTCTGCTATGGGGACATTAAATGAACGGATGGTGAATACCTGCGCTCTGCTCATTTCCCCCTCCATGGCCACCTGAGGTTCGCGGCTGCCATGGAGATATGAAAGTTGCTACATACATAATGCTGCTCATCCATCTTGCAAAGTAGTGAGACACTGAGGCTACCATCTTCCTCATGGGAGGCCAAGTAAAGCCAGTCAAGGATCATACTGTTACAATTTCAAGAGGTTGAGTTTATCACCCGCACAGCTCCCTCTTGGTGGCAGCAAACAGATCCCAACGAACAGCTTCTATCCTCAGGGTGTGTCTGCAGTGCAGCTAGGCCAGCAGTGACATCAGCATTGCAGAAATGGCACATCAGCACATCCTGCTCACATCCTGGCCGTGGCCAAGAAAATGACACAATGGGCCAAATGGGAATTTTCCGAAGAGTTAGTTAGCAAACAGCAAAAGTAAGGCAACCAGATAATTATGTCTAGGATTTTCATTTTAGCTAAAAAATAATAATAATAATTAATTATAGGAGGCTAACTTGTAAACATTTCTTTTTAAATAATGCAGGAAGGAGTATTTATGTAAGGGAGGAAACTGAGAAACAACAGGCTCTAGTGGCAGGGGCACAGGGAAAAGGCCCTGAGGTTGGTGGAAGCGTAAATATGTATGTTAGTTTTCTATGGCTGTTGTAACAAGTTACCACAAGCATTTGCATTACCTAGTCAAAGAGGAAAACAAATTAAAACAAGTCAAAAATATAAACAAAAGAAAGGATAATCTGGGAAGACAAGGACGAGGAACTGGCTTCTTCAGCTTTTTTGGTCTGCATCTTACACTGTGTGCCAATATCTCTGCAAGTACGCCTGCTCCCATCTGCTTCCAGTGAAGGCTTCTTAAGCTGTGGTCTCTGGCTGCCTCAGGCGTCCTAAAAAACCTGTTGCTATCGAGTTGATGCTGACTCATAGCAACTCTGTAGGACAGAGTATAACTGCTCCATAGGGTTTCCAAGGAGTGGCTGGGAGATTCGAACTGCCAACTTTTTGGTTAGCAGCTGAGCTCTTAACCACTGCGCCACCTGGGCTCCTCAGGGGTCCTAGCCGCCCTGAAATTATAGCAACCTTCCCTGCACGTGCATATATGCATTTTTTCTGGGAGAAGAGTCTGTAGCTTTCATCAGCCTCTGAAGGGGGTGGGTTGGTCAGATCAGGTTTTAGAGCCACTGTTCAGCGTGTGGAGCCCTGGTGGTGCAGTGGTTAGGAGCAATAGCAAGCTATGGGTGCTAACCAAAAGGTTGGCAGTTCAAATCTTCCAGCTGCTCCTGGAGCAGTTCTACCCTGTCCTATAGGGTCACTGGGAGTCGGAACTGACTCAGGGCAACGGGTTTGGTTTTGGGTTTGGTTCAGTGCCTGCTGAGCTTGTATTCTGCCATCAGTTCCCTTCCTACAGCAAAAAAGATGAGTCATCTAGGTTACCTCACAAAAGAGGGCCTCTCCTCTCCTTCACCTTCATAAACCAAAAAAAAAAAAAATTATTGTTGAATCGATTCTAACTCATGGCAATCCCATGTGTTTCAGAGTAAGATTGCATTCCATAGGGTTTTCAAGGCTGTGCTCTTTCCGAAGTAGACTGCCAGGCCTTTCTTCCAAGGCACCTAGAGGTGAGAAGGCATCTCTGGGTGGATTCAAACCACCAACCATTCAGTGAGTAGCTGAGCACTTGGCCATTTGCACCACCCAGGGACTTCATACCTACCCCCTTACTAGAGTCGGGTGTCTCTCTAAAGGCAGCTGTACTCAATAACAAATAATTTTTTAAAAGACCCACAAAGCCCTTTTCTAAGCCCTTCATTTATGTCTGGACTCAGCAGTCTCCCTTGTCAGGCTCTACAGTCTTCTGAACCCGTGAATTATTCATTAGCAAGTGTGACACCAGCAGGTTGAGTTTCCAAAGTGAGCTGTTCATTAGCGTGTGAGAAATGCCTGAAAACAATCCCCAAGCACGTGAAACAATCTGGATTATTTCAGCAGTAATGCATTTCCAGATAGAACCATCCGCAAGACCCAAGGAATCACTGTTTTTTATATTCAGCCTTCTCAAAGTCTTTCTCTAAAATCTTCTTTAATACTTGATTTTTCTCACAGTCTGATAAGCAGAGAAGAAAAGTTTACCTTTCTGACTTTTGCTATGAATGTATAAAAGAGCTCAATGCCCTCACGACACTGGGCTGTTTCTCTGGTTTTAAAAAACTGCATTAAGACAATGTCTGGTGAGGCTGGTATCTGGAAAACAAAACAAAACCCACCTTAACGTTAAAATCATATCCTTTAGGGGAGGGAACTTTAGAGGAATATGTGTCACCATATGAACCCACTGATCAATCCTAGCATCACTATAGATGACATCACACGCCTCAGTATATGATGAATAGGAAGCACCTACAAAGTACTTTGGGAGCCCTGGTGGCACAGTGGTTAAGCACTCGGCTGCTAACCTAAAGGTCAGCGGTTCGAACCCAACAGCCCCTCTGAGGGAGAAAGATGCTGTGGTAAAGATTACAGGCTTGGAAACTCTATGGGGTCAGTTCTACCCTGTCCTGTAGTGTTGCTATGAGTTGGAATCGACTCAATGGCAATGGGTTTGGTTTATGAAGTACTTTAGCCAAAAAAGTTGAAGTTGAATCTAGCCATTAGAGTTGTGCTGTCCGATATGGTAGCTACATGTGGCTATATAAATTTAAGTTAAATAAAATAAAAAATTCAGTTCCTCATTTGAACTAATCACACTTAAAGTGTTAAGTAGCCACACATGGCTAGTGGCTATGGTATTGGATAGTGCAGGTAGAACATTTCAATCACAAAGAAAGTTCTATTGGACAGCATTGCTCTAATACCTAACTTCATTTAGTGGAAATATGGCCAGATAGAGGACATGCTAATGACATCACAAGGAAGCAAACAGACATATTTATTTATTTTTCCCATACAAAAATTTATATAGTTATGTGACCCTAATTGCTCTCCCCATACTGTGACAGCACACTCCTCCTTTCCACCCGATTCCCCACGTCCATTCAACCAGCTCCTAACCCTCTCTGCCTTCCCATCTCACCTCCAGACAGAAGCTGCCCATTTAGTGTCTTGTATCTACTTGAGCTAAGAGGCACACTCCTCATGAATATCACTTCATGTCCCATAGTCCAGTCCAAACCATCTGAAGAGTTGGCCTCAGAAATTGTTTGTTCCGGGCTGATAGAAAATCCAGGGGCCATACTTGCCGGGGTTCCTCCAGTCTCAGTCAGACCATTAAGTCTGGTCTTCTTACTAGAATTTGAGTTCTGCACCCCACCTTTTTCCTGATCCATCAGGGAGTCTCTATATGGTGTTCCCTGTCAGGGCGGTCATCGGTGGTAGCTGGGCACCATCTAGTTCTTCTGGTCTCAGGCTGATGAAGTCTCTGATTTATGTGGGCCTTTCTGTCTCTTGGGCTAATACTTGCCTTGTGTCTTTGGTGGTCTTCATTCTCCTTTACTCCAGGTGCTTGGGACCAATTGATGCATCTTAGATGGCCGTTTGCAAGCTTTTAAGACCCCAGACGCCACTCACCAAAGTAGGATGCAGAACATCTTCTTAATAAGCTTTGTTATGCCAATTGACCTACATGTCCCCTGAAAGCATGATCCCCAGACCCCTACCCCTGCTACTCTGTCCCTCGAAGTGTTTGATTGTATTTAGGAGCTTCTCAGCTTTGGTTTAGTCCAGTTGTGCTGACTTTCCCTGTAGTGAGTGCTGTCCTTCCCTTCACCTAAGAGAATTCTTATCTACTATCTAGTTAGTAAATAACCCTCCCCCTCCCTCCCCACCCTTGTAACCATCAAAGAATGTTTTCTTCTGAAACAGACATATCCAGAATGTGGAACTGCTTTAGATTAGAAGATACTTAAAAGATCTAACAAATGTAATACGTGGACTTTGTTGTAATGCTGATTCGAACAAGCCAACTTAGTTGATGCTATCAGAGAAATTTGATTATCATTTGGGCATTGCATAATACCATGTGCCATGGATTGAATTATGTCCCCTAAAAAAATGTGTGTATCAGTTTGGCTGGGCCACGATTCCCGGTACTGTGTGATTTTCCTATACGTTGTAAATCCTGCCTCTACGATGTTAATGAGGGAGGCAGGACTCAGTCTACAAGATTGGATTGTGTCCTAAGGCAATCTCTTGAGATATAAAAGAGAGAAGTGAGCAGAGAGACATGGGGAGCTCATACCATCAAGAAAAGCAGTGCTGGGAGCAGAGCGCGCCCTTTGGACCTGAGGTCCCCGCGTGGAGAAGCTCCTAGTCCAGGGGAACATTGATGAGAAGTCTGACAGACAGAGAAAGCCCTCCCCTGGAGCTGACGCCCTGAATTTGGACTTTTAGCCTACTTTACTGTGAAGAAATAAATTTCTCTTTGTTAAAGCCATCCACTTGCGGTATTTCTGTTGTAGCAGCACTAGATTACTAAGACACCATGTGATTGATTTTGACAGTTATGATAATGCCCTCTGATAATATAAAGCAAAATCAGCATTGTTTAGAGATTTCATATTAAGATATGTAGTGGTAAATGATACAGGTCTGAGATTTTGTTTTCAAATACTCCAGCAAATCAATAAAAGGAATAGATAAAGCAAATATAGAAAAATCTTGGTAACTGCTGAATCTGGGTGGTGGGCATATGGGGATTCATTGTAATTTTCTATACTTTTGTGTGTTCAAGAATATTCACAATAAAAACATTTAAATCTTGTTTAAATCTTGTGAAACCTGTGAGAGTCAGAACTTGACGGGACTGCCTTGTTTTCCCTGGTCTTGAAACGTTTTCTGCCTTTGATATGGTGCAGTCTTACCACTTTTCCATCACTTGTTTTAGTCGAAAATATTTGAGCTTTCCTTCTCCAACAGGTTTCTGCCTTACACAGGTTCTGGCTTTTGCAGGTTTTACTATACTTGAAGAAGAAAAGCAATATCCTTATGTGGCCCTCCTTCTGTCCTAAATAGCCCACTGAAAGAAAATTATTGGTGGATCGCTATGAAATTCCCTTCAATGGAAGTTTTCTATACACTTAAAGAGAAAATATGGTAGATCTCTTTACCTCAAATGTAGATAAGAAAATTATTGTAGTGTGTAATAGTTTATAGGCAATTCAGAGAAAAATCCATCTAAAGGAAAGAGAAGCACTGTAGTATAAGAACAGGGGTCTCACAAGAATATCCAAAACAGGAGCTGGCAATTTCAATATTTAAGTATATACACTTCTATAGAATTTTCCCCAAGAATCAGAAATACTTCCAAGTATTGAATCAAACTGCAATTGAACAGCTTTTAACAATCATTTGGGGTGTGGATCCACATGCAGGCTCTGTTTCACAAATTTTATTAGAATTCATGGTCAGACTCATATGTTATTCTTTGGCTTGTCCTTTGATTCACTGATATTGTAGGCTCCATAGTTACATAAACCCTTCTGAAGGCATTGCCCTCTGGCTTTTTGGATTATAGTCCACATCCTCCTGTTTTAAAGTCATTTCTATTCTTGAAAAACCAGTTTACTCCTATACATACATATGTATCCAAATCTGCAACTTGCTGTTTTATTACTCAATCTATTTTGTAGATATTTCCATACTGGCACATTTAGATCTACTTTTAATCTTTTTAGGCAAAGCCCTAGTGGTGCAGTGATTAAGAGTTTGGCTACTAAACCAAAAAGTTGGCAGTTCAAATCTACCAGCCACTCCTTGGAAACTTTATGGGACAATTCTTCTCTGTCCTATAGAGTTGCCATGAGTCGAAACTGACTCGAAGGCAACAGGTTTGGTCTTTTGGTTTTTAATCTTTTTAAAGACTGATAACATCCCATTCTAATACAGTGAAACCTGTGAGAGCTGGAACTCGACAGGACTGCATTTGTTTTTCCCAGTCTTGCCAGTTTTCCACCTTTGACAGGGGGCAGTCTTACCACTGTTCTATTGCTCGTTTTAGTGGGAAATATTTGAGTGTTCCTTCTCTGACAGGTTTTTGTCTATGCAGGCTCCAGCTTTCGCAGGTTTTACTGTAATATAATTTAAGTTTCTATATTGATGGGTGGGGTCCCTCGGTGGCAAAAGGGGCTCGAGCTCCACGACCAACCAAAAGGTTGGTGGTTGGAATCTATCCAGCAGTGCCGCAGAAGAAAGGCCTAGCGATCTACATCAATGGTATCACAGCCATTAAAAACTCTATGGAGTGCATTGCCACTGGAGGGCAATGGACTCCACTGCCCATTGTCATAGGACATGCTGGCGATCTGGGGATGATACTAGGCAATATCTTGTTTTGTTTGTACAGAAGGTGACCACCAGCCTACTGGAGTTGGAGGATACTGAAAGCAGGCAGCTACCTGTCTATTAATGGGTAACTGTATTATTTCCTGTTTTTTCTTTTAATCACAAAAAGTGCTGTAATAAATACCTTTGTAGATAAATCTTTGGCTATTGGTGCCAAAAAAAAAAAAACCTATTGGATAATTTCCTGGTAGTGAATTGCTGAATTAAAAGGTAGAAGCATTTAAGCTTTTTATATTGTCAAATTACCCTTCCCAAAAGGTTACACAAATGACATTCTCGCTAACAGCATTTCCTCACATCTTGTCAATATTTGCTATTAACAAATCTAAAAAGCTTTGCCAGTCCGGTAGATGACAAAAATTGTGTCGTTTTGATTTGGGTCTCCTGAATCATGATTAGGTCCGCAAGGCCGGATTATTAAACACGCACGTTTTGAAATCAGACACCCTGAGCTGGGTCCTAGCTCCTCCTCTTAAATGAGAGACCTCAGACAAGTTTGATCTATTTCCCCCTTCTCAAAAAGGGGGATAATCAAGGCACAAACCTTTAAGATTAAGCGAGGTAAGAAGGAATACAGGAACCCCTCCCTATGCGCTCAGTATCAGCTGTACTCGTCTGGATTTTTTAAACCGGTGCGCCCTCCAGTCCATCTCTGGCATACTTCTCCCAGCCAAGCGTCGCAGAACTCTATTTGTAAATGGAAAAAAGAAAGTTGGCTCTGTCTTTCAATATTCTCTCAACTCCCCGCTCCTGGCTCAGAACGACTGGTTTATAATTCAATGGATAGGAATACGTTGCAGTTTTTAAACAACATGCAAAGTTGACATTTCGTCCGCGCATCCCGGCCTCAAAGACCCACCGCTTACAGCGCAGAAACACTGTATGACACGTTACTTCCCAAACGTTTCACTCCCGCTGCCCCATTAGGGGCAAGTAGGTAGCGCTAAAAGGCCTCAGAGAACGAAGTTTTAGACGAGTTTCCGACCACCCCCCGAGAAAAAACAATAATATTGTCTAAGGAATTAATTTTTATTTTAAGCGTTCTAGACCCCACCTCCACACGAGGGCCGCCAGGCTCCCCTCCCACGGCCCCGCCCACCACAGGAAGTGACATAGCCAGTTGCGTCCGTCTCCTTCCGCCCTCCGCCAGTTGCGCGGCCGAGGCCCACACGGGCTGTGCGTCGGAGTCCGCGGCCAGCGTAGGGATTCTGGGTAACGGCCTTGGCCTGCTGCAGCGGTACGATCCGCTCGGCAGGTTCCACTGCCGCCGACGCCGTTAGCAGCGGCGGTTGTAGGCGGGGAGGCAGCCAGATATGGAGCAGCCGTGGCCGCCACCGGGACTCTGGAGCCTCCCCCGCTCCGAGGGTGAGGCCGAGGAGGAGAGTGACTTGGACGTGTCCCCCGGGTCCCCCCGGTGCTCGCAACTGCCGGGCGGCGGCGCCCAGGTGAGGGGGGCCCGCGTTCTGCGGGGGGTGGGGCGTGCCCTTGCCAGGCCCCCCAGAACTCCCGTCTCCCTGGGCTTTCTGTGCCCGATCTGCGCCCCGTCCTCACCGCCCGGGGCCAGGTGCCTGATGCCGTCCTCCGCTCTTGTAGCATCTTCGGAGGGGAGAAGGGGAGTGGCCGTGTATGCCACCCTCCACGCACACGTTTTCGTTCACTTTTGCCGATTCCCCACCCTTAGAAGACGCTCCGCCTTTTCCCCTCTCCTGATAGCACCCAGATTTGGGGCGACTCACGCTATACCACTGACCCTTTGTCCTCTTGCGCTTGCTTTTACCCGAGCCCGTTATTCCGTTAAAGGCTCTACTCGTACGTAGTTGATAGTTCGGATCAACGAATGACTGCAGTTGGGCAATTCACTGATCCTGTTTCTCTGACTTTGACATCTGAGCAAATTCCGTAAGCCCCGCTTTTGATTCTGGCGTGCGCGTGACCATTTCCCCCCGACTGTAATTGTTTTTGGTTATGCTTCAGGTCACTCTCGTCCAGTAAAAACATAGTCGCACGTTTTCAACAGACAGCCTCTCAGGTTCCTGATGCTGCTCAGGGTTTCCAGCCCAGGCCTCCCTCCTCTGAAACCTATCCAGACGTGATGTATCATTTAGGATTTTTCTGGACCCTGTCTTAGGGAGTGTTTATTTACTCATATCACGTTGTCCTGGTTTGTCTCCTAACCTAAGTGTGTTTTGGAAGTGTTTCCCGGGATTACAGACTAAACCCTAATTTGTTCAGTGAAACAAATTATAGGTGTTCTCCCTTTTCCAGGCTTCTTGGAAAATGGAATCCCCAAGAGTTTAACAGAATTGAGAGCAGTTTTCCTCTAGACTCGTTTTGCTAGATGTTAATGAAGATGAGTGATTTAAATCGTTTGCCAGTAAGCGTAGGGTCATTGATTCTATGGCCAGCTAACGGGTTTTAGTTGGCTTCACACTGAGAAAAATGCTGTTTCATAATCACAGACTGTACTTCAGCCAGCCAGCCACTGGGAAAGTGCACGACATTTTTCAGGAGGACGGAATGAGAGTTGATGGGTCGGTAGTCACCCACTAATTATGGATCAGTAGTATCATCTTCATACACAAAAGGTAGCACATAATACGTTACAGAGAGTAGGGAAAGAATGCCCAGCAGCTGCTGTCCTCAAGGCATATGGAGGGGGATAAAAAAGTCTCATGGATTTCAGTGCATTGTGGTTGAATCACAAAAGTAACCTGAGAAACTCTGAATTTAGAATATATATATTATTTTTATTTGTGCACTTGGAATCATTGCATATATAGATGTACATAATATATACAGATGAAAGGAATTTTAGAAGTGTGTAGGCTTATCCCCTTCATTAAAATTGATCTCCGAGGCTGTATAGCTAGTTAGTGGCAGAGCTAAAACTAGAATCTACTTCAGACTCCTAATCCAGTGTTTTTTCCCACCTACTGCATTGCCTTGGAAGTGCTGTAAAACTTTATTTGGTCAAAATTGAACAGTAAAATTTGCAAAGTGATTCCTAATTCTAAATTGATTCATGTGTTTGTAACAAACCTAATTAAAAGCCTTATTTTTCTCCCTAACTTTTTAGGACTTAAAAGTTTTTGGATTGGAATATTTGGAAAAAATAAAATGTTTAATTCAATTTATAAACGTTGTATAAATCTTTTTTAAAAAACAACTTGTTAATGTAAAGGCAGGTTGGAATTTAGAGATCCTGTTTGAGAATTTTTGATGTAAAGATACATTAATAGACCTTAATATTGGTAACAGTCCATTAAAATATACTCTTGTCTAATGTACCTCTAAAACCTCAACGTGTTCATGGATTAAAATATGACCTAATGTTCTACTTAATCATCTAAATACACGTTGGATAGTTTGCCCAAATGCGTAAACATTGTCTGGGTAGTCTGTGCAGAATTTTTAAACATGAATTAGTTGTAGAGTTCGGAAATAAGGTTTCTGTGTTGATTTGCTAAATGAATATTTGCCCCCACATAATTTCAAAATGCAAGATATTTTCATTTATTCATATTATTTTTCTTGGTGTATCTTTGTCTCTTCTTACAAAATAAATTTCATTTTTCTCCCATTTTCTGGCCACTTTTGAAGCATAGCTAGTATACAGTTATTTTTGATCCTACTCTTAAGATAGCAAAAAATAAAAATGAAAATATTTTACTTGGTTAGTCAGGGACATGGCAGTGTACCTGGGCCCCAAACCTGCTGTTGTTAGGTGCCGCAGAGTTGATTCCAACTCATAGTGACCCTATGTACAACAAAAGGAAACGCTGCCCAGTCGTTCGCCATCCTCACAATCATTGCTGTGTTTCAGCCCATGTTTGCAGCCACTGTTGTCAGTCCATCTTGCCGAGGGTCTTCCTCTTTTTAGCTGACCTTGTACTTTACCAAGCATGATGTCCTTCTCCAGGGCCTGGTCCCTCCTGATAACATGTCCAAACCTGCTGAGCGGGTAAATAAAGCATCTGAATAGCAACAGTGTCCGAATTTGCCCCAGTACAAATCTTCATTTGCCAGAAGACTCAGCTAGCAAGTAAGGGTTTTGCATGCCACACGCGTCAGCATTCTTTATCACTGGTCTGTGCCAAGAAGTGGAGATTCATGTATTCATCTAACATTTATTGAATTCCAGTCCTTCAAGAAGCTAATAGTTTAGTAAATACATACACACAATATTATGTGAAAAACAGCATGTTAGAAGTATGCATAATCTGGGTGGGGAAGAAGGAATACGAGAAAATTTAGGGAAGTGATGCCAGAATCTGGAAAGATGACCCCAGTAGGAGTTATCCAGGGGATGGGGGGTGGGAGGACAGGGGGATTGTGAAGCTAAGGGAGGGGTGAGGAGGAAAGAATAAACAGAAGTAGAAGAGTAACTGGAATTGAGTCCGAGAGGTAACAGGAAGTGAGATCATGAAGGACCATGCCACAGAGTTTGGACTTTATCCCAAGACTCTAAAAATGAGTAAAACAGTCAGATTTGTGTTTGGAGAAGCCCCTCCAGTCCAGCAGAGTGGAGAGTGAATGGCTTGGGAGGACTGAAGGCAGGCAGGCCTTATTCGTGTAATTGAGGTGTGAAGTTGTAAGGGCTTGAACTAAGTCTGTGGCAGTAGTGAAACAAGTAAGGGAACAGATTGGAGAGAAGTTATGCTGAGTAAGTAGATTGAAATTGATCTGCATTTGGCTAAGAAATCATAATGTGGCTTCAGCTTTTGTTGTATAGAGTAAGGAATTAAGCACCTAATAGGGCCTTACGTGTAGATCAGTAAGTATTAAACGGAATAACTGCTGCTTTCCAGTGGAGCAGAATCACCAGGGTGGGTCAGCTGGCACCTTTTTATTTTATTTTTTTTAATAACTTTGCCCATTTTGATTAGGATTAAGTTAAAGGGTCTATGTCTGATGGTTATAAATAGAAATTTTCAACAAAAACTTCTTAAATCACTGAGGATTGGGATGATACAGAAGGAAAATAGAAACCAATAAATTATTACTTCTAAATAAAAGGTTGTTTGCAGTGAAGACCTTGTAGAACAGAATTTTAAAGGTCCGCTTTTCATATGTTGAGTAGTGAGCTGTTGAACTAGATACAAGCGTTTATTTTCGTTATTCTGCTCTTTGAGGATTATGAAGACTATAAGTCACATGTTTGCTGAGCACCAGCTACATGCAAGACATTGTGCTAGTTGCCAGGCTTTTTGTTGTTGTTAGCTGTGGGGGGAGGGACACAGATTAACAAAGAAGCTTGGAGTCTAGTTGATGAAACAAGGCCTATAATGTAAGAGTATAACTACATACACAGAAGGCAGGATACACTGTTCCAAAAAACACTGTACAGAAATCCTTTGAATAAAAGAAAATTGAACCCTGCTGCACAAACGCACCCTTTGCCTCCTTCATTGCACCCTTTTCCTCCTTCATTTCTTACAAGTAGAGTTTTGTTTTTCATCCAGATATACAGCCATGGGATTGAACTGGCTTGCCAAAAGCAGAAAGAGTTTGTAAAGAATACTCTGGCGTGCAAATGGAATCTCGCTGAAGCGCAGCAGAAACTTGGTAGCTTAGCGCTGCATAACTCTGAGTCCTTGGATCAGGAACATGCCAAAGCACAAACAGCAGTATCAGAACTGAGGCAACGGGAAGAAGAATGGCGACAGAAAGAAGAGGCTCTAGTGCAGAGAGAGAGAATGTGTCTGTGGAACACGGATGCCATTAGCAAGGATGTTTTTAATAAGGTACGGCCTTTTATTGGACCATAATGAAAGAAGACAAAGCGTTGGAACTGTTTGTGCAGACGAGTTGTGAATATTTAGCAAAACAGCAGTATCCTGTAGACAGTATTCACTTTTGATAGAGGTTTATGAAAAGTGCTTGTTACAGAAACCAGTATCTCTAATAGTGTCTAATGTGGCTAGTATTTAATCCAAATATGTGACTACAGCCTGTCAACACACTGGAATCGGATTGCCTCAAGACTGGCTTTGTGACCTTGGGCAAGTCACACAACATCTGTAAGCCTCAGTTGCCTCAGCTCTACAACAGAAGTAATTGTAGATGGCTGATATACGGTGGGTGTGAAGGTTAAATTAGTTGATGTTTTAAAGAATGTGGGGCCTGGCGCAGGGAAGGCTTTGATATTATGAGTGCTATTAGCTTATTAGCAGTTTCGTAACACTAATGTATAGTTTTCTGGATTTATTTATTAAATAAAACAAAATGTTTTTTAATATTATGTATTTAGTAAACCTTAGGTAGTAATCTGGATTTACTGGTACAAGCATAACCGAAAGGACTCTTTAGAAATAATTTAGTCCCTTTTGTCTCTTAGTAAAATGAAATAGTACAGTACTTTTGCCAGGGACTTGGTGGCTTCTTAAGAATAGTGTTCTGTTTCTTACTAGATGATATACGCTTTGTTCTTTGACTTTTGTATCTGAAGAGGAAATGGATTTAAATTGCTGGAAGAGTTCAGAACAGCAGCATTCTTCAGACTCCAGGCCTCGACCCCAGTTAGGTGTGAAACAATTTGGTGCATTCCAAGTAGCTTTTTAAATAGAGTAGAAAAGATCAGCGCGTCCCACTTATTAAAGGTCAATTCACTATTGTGAAACTTACGCTTTAGGGAAGTGTGTGCATGGTAGGACACAATATAAAATCTATTTCTTAACTTAAAATGTAGTTAAAAGTTTGAAAACTCCTGCAGACTCTAGACAGTTTTAATTGACCTGTCCCAGATATTTGTTGATATACTTGTACTGCTGAACAAATATTATGTACATTATGAAACAGTCACAAAAATCAGACATTCACAAGGGCAAGGTAAAAATCTAAATTCAAGTTATATTTTCCCTCATATCTCACGGAGTCAGTCTGTGTGCCCCTACTTTAGTGACGACTGCTTTTAGGGTTTCTGTCATTCAACCACCTTATTTTATAAATGAAGAACCTGAAAGTAAGTAAGAGTGACTTGATAACATAGTGGTGGATTAAATGTGAGGAAGAAATTCCTGGCTGTGGGATTGAGAGGCTAAGATAAGGTAAAAGAAAGTTATTGAATCTCCTTCTAATGCTGCCTGTAAGAATGAGAATGATGTCCCTTATTCTGGAGGCAGTAGAGGAAAGTGTCCTGGTTGGACTTGGAAAACCCACTGCTTCTCAAGCAACTCGGGGTTTTATACCTGTCTTTTCCAGGGAAAACTAGGGTTTCTGGAGATTATTTCAAAATGCGTGAAAAGGAGGAAAAACAGCAAAGCCCGGTTATTCCATGAACTAATGCTTTAATATGGAACAAAATGGTACAATTGTGTATTGAGCAATACAGTAATCTGTGTTTATCCTTGTTTTGGAAAAACGTGTAATAAAGTCTAAGAACATGCCGATGGGTACAATTATTTTAGGGTTCAGTTTTTGCACTGTGTCGACATGGCTGAAGAAAATAATTCACAGAAGCTAAAAGCTTTTAGCTTTTCAGCAGAAGTGGATTTCCTGTATTGTCCATTATGACTGTTCTCTGAGCCTGAAACAGGGATGATATCAATAACATCTACACAGAGAATAGGGATAAGCTTTCAAACCTCATAACCCACTGGGGACATATTATCTGGTAGTAAATTTGGATCTTTTTTTTTTTTTAGTCTTTTTAGAAGACTTAAAACATATACAAAGTAAACAGAATAGCATAATGAATCTCATGTTCCATATCATCATCTATCATCCTTCTGTCGTTTTTGTTTCAGCTATACCTTCCTCTACTCCCACTTCTGCTTGATTTTTTGTTTTAGTTTTTAGGTAAGATTTTCATACCTTGATATGTAGGTGTACAAATTTAACAAATAGATAACGCTTATGTAGCCTACACTCCAATCAAGATATGTAATGTGGAACTTTTTAAAAGTATTTAAATGTTCAGTCTGCAACCAACTGGGGCAATGAAATCAGTCATTTACTACTAATTTGTAAAGTGTTTCTTTTTATTTGTACTAAACTTAACTCTCGAGCTTTAGAGCGAGACTCCTCAGCCTGTGGCAGTACTTGTTTTGTTCTCCTGACACCCGCTCCCACCCACCCTCTTGATTACTCTTAATGGCCCTCCCCTAGAGAGCTCTAGTTCTGGAACAGCAATCAGTAGTACACACAGGTAAATGTACATCACTACTTTTTTCTTTATTTAATTGAAAAAAGTTATAACATTACTACATGCTTATTGTAAAAATAAATAAATACACAACTATGTAAAGTAGAAATTGAAGGATTCCCTTCACCTCTAATTCCATTTCCCAAAGAGAACCACTGTTAATTGTAAGTCATATCTTTGTAGACTTCTTCCATGACTGTACTAATTTATATTTATGTATTTTTCCTCCCCCACAACAGGATCATTCCTTATCTGAATAATGTTTCTTTACTTGATAAAGTTACTTATCTTCCTTAACATAGTGGTCATAACACAAGTATTTTCATTATGTCTCTGCTTTTAATTTTTTCTTTAACCATAGAGTCAAAGATAGCCTACATTTATACCACAAATTAATTAGGATTGTCTTTATGTTCCAGTCATTTGCTCAGAATCATACGTTGGTTGTGTCTGGGAACTTGAGAATTCAGAGGACTGGTCTAGATCTTTGCTTTCCAGCTCAGTAGCCACTAGCTACATGTGCTATTGAGCCCTTGAAATGTGGCCAGTCTGAATTGAGATGTGCTGTAAGTGTAAAATACACACCTGATTTGGAAGACTTAGTATTAAAAAAAAAGTCATTAATAATTTTTTATGTTGTCTGCATGTTGAAATTATAGTTGTTGAATATATTGGGTTAAATAAAATATGTTATTAAAATTAATTTCATCTATTTCTTTTTACGTTTTAATGTGGCTGATAGAAAATTTTAAATTGCTTTTGTGGCTCAATATATTTCTGTTGGACAGTACTAGTCTAGATGGCAGAATATAAAGGAAAAAATACTTTTGTTTTGAACCATATAAACTTTTGAGTGCTTCCTGATTATAAACTGGCGGAGGGCTAGTTTGCAATTTTCGTTTTTGGCAGTGATGTTTTCAGGGTACAAATGCGATCACAGAATGTTCTGACAAACTGTCCTGCCAGTTTTTTTGGCTAGATAAAAACTTAATCTTGGTCTGTTTCGTGACTTATATAACTGAAAACAGTTTCTTAATAGAAATTTGTAATTGATTTAAGAAATGAACTGTTTTGCTTCTCCTAAGAAAAATTAGTTAAAATGCAACAAAGGTCTGTGTTTGGTTTAAGTCTTATCAGAGAATTTGTAGTAAATATACCTTATTCTCTATCTACTTTGAATTTCTGCAGTCATTTCCAGCAAGAACTCTAAAGATTAGACTAGATGTGCGTATTTATAAGAAATGAGTAATGCAAATGTGAATTATACATATGAAGGATCTTTCTAATAAGTATGTTTGATAGGGAAATTTTAACACAAAGGTTAATTCAGTTGATTTTCTGTATGATTCCTAAGACAATTCTGTAATTTTCCACGCATATATAATTTTAAACAAAACTAACTAAACTTCAGTACAAAACATTTTTAATTTTTTTGTAAAAAGTTTAACAGGTAATTTAACATCACTATAATATTATATCATTTTATAATGTTTATAGGAAGGATTGCTAGGCATTTCATATTTGAGAAAGAAGATTCAATTAGAATATAAAATTTGATTTTAATTTGTAAATTTTTTCTTAGAGTTTTATTAATCAAGATAAAAGAAAAGAAACAGAAGATGAAGATAAATCAAAATCATTTATGCAGAAATATGAACAAAAAATCAGACATTTTGGTAAGTCATCCACTTGAGTTTCTTTTGCAGTGTTTGGTATCATATGGATATGTACAAAAATGGACTTATAAAATGTCAGGGAAGGTCCTTGACAAACTCAAGATATGTAGCTACTTCTGGCACAGTTGTACAGCTCTTGCCGTAGACTTTTTTATGGTCATAAATAAAACAGATTGACTGAGCAAGCCAAATTGTGAAGATAATCAAAATTTCAGGCTGATCTTTTCTTTCTGTCTTTTTCTCTGCTTCCTTGGTGTCTGATTACCTAATGGTTGTGAGGTTAACATTTAGTTTTTGTAGTTCTAGATATGATGCTGTATAATTCAGGCAGATCCTTGAACTGTTATTCAGATAATACAGTAATAGAAATGTGAACAAAGAACTAAAGAAATAATTTTCTCTGTTAGAGATGAGGGGTGGGATGGGGATTGATGTAAGTGAAGGCTTTCCAGAGGCGGTCTCATCTGCACTAGATTGTAGAGTTTTCCAGGTAGATAAGGGAGGCAAGGCAACAGCATCTACAAGGCACAGAGTCGTGGAACAGCATGGTGTGTTCTGAGAATTAAGAGCAATATGATCTTGCTGGCTTAAAAAATGCTAATGAGAAGCATTAGGAATGAAGGTTCAAAGGTTATTTTTTCATTCCAAGTAATAGGTTAGTTTAGTAAACATGGTTTTTTATTTGCAGTATGTTATTGAGCTTTTTAAATAGTAACATTTTAAAATCTTTTTCCTATTGGTGTTTTTTCCCCCCAAAGTATTTAGAATTTCAGTCATATCAAGACATTGGATGTTACCTTACATTTTTCTTTCCTTCCTCTTACATGCAGTTCATTTCTTCATAAAATATTTATCATTCCCAAAGTTTTCGTTAAGAAAAAAAGCCTGTGTATTCTGTTAAATTCAAGAATAGTAGCTAAAAAAATAAACATAGCTTCTTTTCATATATATTATAATTGTGGCACTATTTATAACAGAAAAAAAGGTTAAATAGCCCTCTCTTGGATAAATATAAGGAGCCCTGGTGGCGCACTGGTGAAGTGCTTGGCTGCTAACCAACAGGTACACAGTTTGAACCCACCAGCCACTTCACGGGAATAAGATGTGACAGCCTGCTTCCGTAAAGATTTACAGCCCTGGAAACTCTATGGGGCACTGCTTCTCTGTCCTGTAGGGTCACTGTGAGTCGGAATTGACTTGATGGCAATACATTTGGATAGATACTAAGATTTTTAAACCAGCAGAGCCCAGAATCTTAAGGATACAAAGTGAAAATTTTGCAAGTGAGTCATTAGTTGTGATAATGTCAGATCCTCCCCCTTGCCCCCCTCCCTCCCAAGGCCTTGCTTCCTGGGCCCATGAGTTCTGCTGCGGAAAAGAGTACCATATATTGGTTGCTTGTTCAGAGCATTACTGCATCTGGTAGAACAGCATCCCTCAAGGTGGTGTCACCCAGCTGGCATTTTATCAGGCCAGCTGCTTTGGAGCCATGGAGAGCCTAGTGGGTTTGAAATGTTTCCCTAACTTTTGCTGGAAAATGAGTGCCTTGGTCAGAAGCAATTTTGTGTGGGAAAATATCCCAGCCTCACAAGGTGCTGTTATCCACCTGGCACTATGACTGAGTCTTCAGTGAACCACTTAACCATTCTGTAAAACCTGTTGCTTCTGGGTAGTGATATTCATGATAACGCCAGTGAATTCCATGAGCTCATTGTCTCATTTAGTTTGCTGTAAAATGAGCTCCTCGGTTAAAATAAAGTGAATAATATGATGAATAATGCATTTAATAAGGCCACAGATGGTATTACTGGCAGAAGCATGGCAAGGGGGGAATGTGTTTCCAGATCTAGAATGTGTTTGTTCTAGTGAAGAATCATTGCTCCCTCCAAGGTCAAATGGGTCCAAGGTCATCAACCTACTAGTCGATGGCTGGCTGTTCTCGCCACTGTATGGTGCCATATTGAGGTTTCAGCATTGGTTTCTGCTACTGGCAAATTAGGTATTCATTGGCCATACTAGTATATCCTTGGTATAGAGAGCCCGTGTTATCTGAGTTTGTGCAAAATTTCAGTCTGTGCCACCATGGCCCCTTAGTTTATGAAACTGTTGTACAAGCATTGGGATGGCTGAGGAAAGAAGCTAACTTGATAAACTCAGGTGATTCATAAACAGCTGTTTTGCCATTGCACACCATGGACTTCCCGTGTCTCATCCTGTAATACTAACCAGTGCCTCACTGTCTTCAAACCCATCCAGACCTGATAACCACTGCCACATTCACATTGTACCTCTTTCTAAGTGGAAATACACATTGAATTCCACTTTGGAGGAGATAGGCTACTTGCCGCAGCCATTGAATCCCCTAAAATGTTACTAAGGTAGTAAGTTCTCCAGATTTTCATGTATTTTATTTCCCAGTCTTTGGGATGTGTGTATCTTACCAAGGTATCTGGGGTACCAAGGTATCTGCTCACCAAGTTCCGTCAGTGTGGAGTGAACCAGCTTGCAGTCATATGGGATGATGAGATAATCAAAGTCCTGTTGGTTAAATCATGGCACAGAGTTGACACATACCTAAGGCAAGACCATGAAAGTTTAATCCTGTCCCTCCTGGGTGGAAGCACGTTTTTCTGATGTGTGCTTATTGTGGTTAGGAAAAAAAAAAACACTTGCCAGAACGATGATTACCTTGATATGCTACTTTAAAGAAAAGGCATCTGGAATAGCAGCTTTAATTAAAGCTTCCACCTTGAGACTTTATCCAAACTTGGATTGTCTGGAAAACATCAGCCTGGTGCACGGGGGGCTATGTAGGGATGTCGGAGTCTCATACCAGTTCTTTGCTATGGTCTTATGTGTATTTATATCTTCAGAGTTCTTCCTGACTTGCCCTGATGATATTTGTTGACTGTCTTTCTTGTGTTGCTTTTAGCCTTGTAATTAAATGGAATCTACCATCTAATGGTAAATGGTACAGCCATATCATGGGAAGTATTATGAAGCAATGATAGCTTGATCTTTTTCCCCCTACATTTCTATGTAATTTATTAATTTTTCTAATTCATGTTTCATACATGTAAACTTTAATTTAGAAACAAAGCCTTTTTTTCTCTTAAGTTCTACAGAACAGTTTTATTCAGTCATATGCATCTTTGACATTACTGGCTTCATCATCAAGGTGCTTGTTGGGTTCTCTGAATTTTATCAAAAGCTGTAACCATTTCATTTGTCCTGAAAGTGAATAATTACAATCTCTTTAATGTAATCACTTCATGTATAGCAAAATTATTTTTTAAGAAATATATCAAATACTGTTAATAGAATGTGAAGTGAATTTTCTTTAAAAAGTTGTTAAAAAAAAGAAGCCTGGAAGGAAATATATCAAAATGTTGCCATTAATTATCTGTTGTAATATAATTGTAGGTGATTTTATTTTCTGGATTTTTCAAATTCTTCACAATTTATATACTTTATAATCTGAAAAAGAGATATTTTTAAAAGGTTATCCTAAGAATTCAAGGAGGGCTTGACATTAGAAAATCTGTTAGTGTAATTAACATTAACACAGGACTATAGTATAACTAAGGAGCCCTGGTGGCGCAGTGGCTAAGCGCTCGGCTGCTAACTGGAATGTCAGCAGTTCAAACCCACTGCCGCTCCTTGGGAGAAAGATGTGGCAGTCTGCTTCTGTAAGATTTACAGCCTTGGAAACCTTATGGGGCGGTTCTACTCGGTCCTACAGGCTATGAGTCGAAACCAACTTGACGGCAGTGGGTTTGGTTGGGTAGTATAACCACAGAACTTAGTGACCAGTTTGATGTGGGAAGAATGGAAGTGTCAAAGGAATTTCTAGAATGCTTGATTGGATGACATGGAGCCCAGGAAGCATTGGAGGATGGCAGAGAGAGAAGGATGGGTTTGGTTTTGAATGAGCTTGGTTTGTTTTCAGATATACAGGTGGGAATAGCTGTCCCATGGTAGGTGATTAGAAATACATGTATCATTTTAAAAGTACAAGAGGGCAATCAATGCGGACATGTGCATTTGGGGACCATTTTAGGGATTAGGTAGCTGTTGAAAATTGATAGATGGGGATTTAGATGTTCACTAGGGAAATATATAGGTAAAAGCATATAATTGTTAAAATATTTTAATTTGTCAAAGTGAGGTTTTTCAAGCATTCAGGGAAGTTAGTTGGCTAGTTTAAATGGATTATGCTTAACCAAAGGATTAGCTTAATAAATATTTGTTGAATTACTAAATGAATGAGTGAATTTTTTACTGTTGTGTTCATAATACGTAACGTTAATCGGATGTTTACTCTGTCAGGTCCTCTTCTAGGGGCTTTATATGTGTTAACTTACTCAGTCCTACCAAAGTCCTGTAGGTCAGGTACTCTTTTTAGCCCTAGTTTACAGACAAGGAAATGGAGGCACAGAGCTATAAAGGAACTTGCCCAAGGTCCCAAGGCTAATAAGTTGTGAAGCCAGTGTTTGAACCTAGGCAGTTTCACTCTCGAGTCTGTTTTCTTAGCCATCATGCTAGATTGTGTTACTCTCCATTTATTTCCAAGTTTGTAACAAATTCCAAAATAACATAAGTAGTTTCAAGTATGTTGTGTTGCGCTATACCATTGACTGTCATATTTTATTCATAAAATTCCACACTCTTCCCACGAAGGTCTTTATGGGCTACCTGTAATCTAACTTCTCAATTTTATCATAATTCAGTTTGCATTTTTGAAATAATGATAAGTATTTCTCAGATAAATAAAAGCTATAGTCAACCTCATGTGTTAATTTTGTCTGAAATATTAAATAGGTAGTTTAACAACTTCTACATTTAATGACACCCTTCCTTATTGCCCCTACAAGCGTCACTAACCCTTTCATGTTGTCCTTCCTGCAAAAGAAACCAAAATGAATAGGATTTTGGTGCCTCATTGAGTCAAGATGCTGCCATGGAGAAGTAAACAGCAGAAGCGATGCTCTGTGGATGGTAGATAGAGTTGAAAATACTGACCTCTTCTGGAGTATAAGAAAGCTAAGGCAAAACTGCTTCACAGGATTTATTTATGGCCTCAGGTATAAGAAATAAGGTTATGCTTTCTTTAGGTCTGCCCCAGAAGTCATTAATTAGGCTGTCCTTAACTATACTTTGAGGAGTAGTTTTTAGTATCTTCCGTAATCATTCTGTTTCTCAGAATTTAAAATGACCTAATTACCATATCCAGAGTATAAAGTATAATAACTTTATAAAGCATGTAAAAACTCTTTATGAGAAAATGCTAAAATGCTTTATTTCCTTTCTTAAGTGGGGAAAAATTCATCATTTATTTTTGGTTAATTCCCATGTGTTGCTAAATGTGTATTTTTCAGTACAGCATTGACCCTCAGTTTTGTTCTCACTTGTGTTCTGGTGTGAGACTTTAATATATTATTTTATTTTATGTCTAAAGAAAAGGTTTCCAGCCAGACTGTTGAGATACCCTTGTAAAATTTCCATGATGATTCAGTAACATCCAGACTTCCCTGGATGACTCTAAAGAATTTAAAGTTAGTATTGTTTTATACTAAACTTACTCAAGTGTAAAGCTGACTGGACAAAGTTAAAAGTTCAACAAACTGCTGGTTTCATGATTGCTTGGGCAGTATTGACTTTTTGATCGAATTTCTTTTTAATTTGGATAGAGATGAAGATACACCTTGTAGTATTTGGATTAGTATGCCATCTTGAAACAAAATGGCAGCCATTTTCAAATACGCTTACTAATTTTTAAGATTTCAAATTTAACATTTATAGAAGTGATAACCCTAAACAAAGTCTACAGTTTGTTATACTGTTAGTATTTGTTGTGTTTACTATATGTGTGTATATATATATATATATATATATATATATATATATATATGTATATGTATATATGCACAGGCATCATGACTAGACAGTTGAAGTATATTGTCATAACACTGATTGGTTCCCATGCTGCCGATATTTTACTATATTATCTTAGATGTATTTTCTAATACATTAGAGATAATGTGGTTTTCCTGAATCTTTAATTAAATCTAAGTTTGCTATGTGTTGCTTCTTGTGGTCTTGCTTTCTTTCCCATCTTTTTAAATAGAAAAACATTTATTTTCTGAATAACTAATACTGAGTTTCTTGAATTCCTCAATACTCTTGTTAGCCTAGGATGACCACTTGTCCTGGTTTGCCTGGATTGAGGGTGTGCCCCAGATGCAGGACTTCCAGCTTTAAACCAGGAAAGTCCCAGACAAACTGGGAGGTGTTGATCACCCTACTTTAGCCTAACTAATTATCTGACATAAAACTTTCTGTGAATTTTGGATGCTATTTCCAGTGCACTGGGCATTGCTTTGAAGAGTGTTATCCCTCTTTGTTTCTCTTTTACCTTAATACATTGCTCAGGTAATATGTATTGGCTTTAAAGAGAATTACATTAAAATATCATTTCTTACCTTGCAGGAAGAAATAAAATATTTGACATTCATTGTTTCTTTGTTTTTTTTTAATAGGTATGTTGAGCCGATGGGATGATAGTCAGAGGTTCTTGTCTGATCATCCCTACCTTGTATGTGAAGAAACTGCCCAGTATCTTATTTTATGGTGTTTTCATCTAGAAGCTGAACAGGTATTGTACAAACCTTTAATTTTTGGGAACTTTAATGGAATTCTGATTTCTTCCTTTTTTTTTTTTTAACATCATTTACTTTAAATGAAGGCAGTGGAGGTCATTAGATTTACAATTTTTTGTTTTCAGATCTGCTTGAGTGTAATATGGGTTTTTGTCTTTGTTTTTCAGTTGTTTCAGTTAGCAGATGGATAGTTTTTCCAATGTGGTCCCTGCCGCGCACCCCTCCCCCCCAGTCATCTCTCTTGTTCCCATGTACTATATTAAACTTTTTTCTTTTTTAACTAATTAGAAAGTTATGTTTTAAAAATCTGAACAGTAATCACAATATTAAATCAGGCCAACAGTACACTCTGCCTTTAGTTATTCTAGTCCACATACAAATAACAACTTTTTGCTGATGAAAACTAAGGTATGAGGTATGCTCTTTATGTATCTATACAGTATTTGACTTAAGGAGCCCTAGTGGCATAGTGGTTAAGAACTCCGCTGCTAACCAAAGGTCGGTAGTTCAAATCCACCAGCCACTCCTTGGAAACCCTATGGAGCAGTTCTTCTCTGTCCTATAGGGTCACTGAGTTGGAATCGACTCGAAGGCAACAGATTTGGTTGTTTTTTGTTTTATTTGACTTAAGATAAAACTAAAGGGAGTAAAACAAAAAGTACTGTAAAAATTAAAAATTTGAATCAGTATGCCAGTCAATTGTATTTCCAGAGGTATTTCTTGTCATTTTAATCTGTTTACTTTCAGAAAGGGGCTCTAATGGAACAAATAGCACATCAAGCTGTTGTCATGCAGTTTATTATGGAAATGGCCAAAAACTGTAATGTGGATCCAAGAGGGTGTTTTCGTTTATTTTTCCAGAAAGCCAAAGTAAGTAGCTCTGTGGTGTTGTTGAGTGGGAAGGTTGGCCTCAGTGAAGGCCTCTTTAGTCCATGCCCATCAAAAGCAGCCATTCAACCAGCTGCCACAGGCTAGTTTTTGTAGGTTTTATCGTAAAAAGAAAAATTATATTGCTGATTTCATGCTAACTTACATTTAAGGGAGGTATATAAGAGGCTGTAGTGTTGCATATATGTGAAATTGAGATCTGTTCAGATGAGTGTATGTATTCAGGAAACTTGGGGTCTTCAGTCACTATATTCGTTCAATAAATATTGAGTGTCTTCTAATGCAAACCGCAGCTGTTTGAGATGCTGAGGATACAGTGTTGAACAAAACAGAAAAAGTATCCTCCATGTATAGAACTCACTGTTTGATGGGAGAACAGGCTTTTGTAATAAAAAATAGGAAACAACCTAAAAATTAGAAGAATGATTTAAAAAGAATATTATACAGCCATTAAAATTATATTTATGAAGAGGTTTTAATGACCCGAGAAAATGCTTATGCTAATCAAGTCAAATGAAAAGAATTGATGATGCGCATTTATATATACAGGATGATGTCAGCCAAGTTAAAAATAGATACGCTTAGGAAAAAGATTAAATACGATTTCACACCCACTAGACTAGTAATAATTTAAAAATTGCACAAGAAGTAGTGCAGTAACAATTCTCATTCACTGCTGGTGGTAGTATGAATTGGGCCAACTATTTTGGAAAATTACAAGTGCATATACTAACCCCCAGAAATTCTCCTAGGTATATAGTCTAGAGAGTAGGTTCTCAAAGACCCTTTCAGGAGGCCCTCTGTCAAAACTAATTTCATAATAGTACTAAGACGTTATTTGCCGTTTTCACTCTCATCCTCTCATGAGTATTCAGTTGGGATTGATGCAGAAGCAGATGTGAGAGTTCTGCAATCTGTTGAGCCAGACGTTAAAGAAATTTGCGAAAATGGGAGACAGTGCCACTCTTTTCACTGATTTACTTCTGCTTTGGAAGATGTGGCTATTGTTTATACAAATGTTATTCAAGTTATATAATAAGTTTGTTAATGTCATTTCTTAGTAAACTTTTAAAGATTCCTAAGTTTTAATTTCTAGCACAGTAGATATTTACAGCTATAACCCACATAAACAAGAGCTCTTTGGGTTTTTCAATAATTTTTTAAGAGTGTGAAGGAGTCTTGAGACCATAAAGTTTGAGAACTGCTGCTTTAACCTTTTAGTGACCCAGTTATTTTCACTTTTGAGTTTTTTGTTGATACCATGTGTTTCCACTAATGGAAGGCATGCTGATTAAAGGATCAATTCAGAATTTTTGTTATGAGTTATGTGTTTTGATACCTGTTATCTGGGATCCCATATGTGCCGGCAGACACCGGGACGTAGTAAATCCTACTGATATGAGTGAATGAATGCATGGTAAGAATAACTTAGAGGAGTTCAAGTCTCTTGAAGAGTACCACTGCAGTGCATTGTTCCTTACTGGAAAGGCATTATTTACTGTTCAGATGCTAGAAGAGAAGGGAGCCAGTAACACCTGGAAACAATGCATGGCATCAAGGAGAGAATGGCCACTATGACTGAATGAAGACTGGCAATAGCTTATTCTTCCAATAAGTACATTCTCGTGAGAACATAGTAACTAGGAAACATAGTGAAGAGGCTTATCTCACAGAAATAAAGGCAAACCTGTCAAAAGTTTAGAAAATTCACATATCCAGGAGTCATCACCCAAGACAATGCTCAGTCTGCACAAAAATGAGGTTCTCACTCAGGATTTTTGAGTTTCAAGCATTTCAGAAGGCTCCCACCTTGAGGCTGAACATGTTAAAATCGGGTTCCCTCCTTCCCAAAGAAGGCATAAAATGTGCTTGGGATACAGTATGTCCTGAGTCCCCAAAGAGTTAAACTCTTATTTACATACACGCACTAGATACCATAATATTTATGGTAGAATTGTTCAAGATAGCAGAAAAGCCTGGGAACAATCCAAATGTCTGTCAGCAGCAGAGTGAGTAAATTCTATATTCAACCAGTAAAATACTGGCATCAGCATGGTGAACTAACAAGGGAGTGAAAAAAGCACGTCACAGATAATATATCCAGTATTATTCCATTTTTATAAAGTTCAAAAACAGGCAGAAGTACCTGACAGGGAACACAACAGAGAGTCGCTGATAGAGCAGGAGAAAAGTTGGGTGCAGAACTCAAATTCTAGTCAAAAAACCAGTCTTAATGGTCTGACTGAGACTGGAAGAACCCCAGAAGGCATGGCCCCCAGACTCTCTGTCAACCCAGAACTAAAAGCATTTCCGAGGCCAACTCTTCAAACAAAAATCAGCCTGGACTGTGGGACATAAAATGATACTCGTGAAGTGGGTGCTTCTTAGCCCAAGTAGATACATGAGACTAAATGGGCAGCTCCTGTCTGGAGGTGAGATGAGAAGGCAGAGAGGGTCAGGAGCTGGTTGAATGGACATGGGAAATCAGGGTGGAAGGGAGGAGTGTGCTGTCACAGTATAGGGAGAGCGATTAGGGTCACATAACAATGTATAAATTTTTGTATGAGAGACTAACTTAATTGTAAACTTTCACTTAAAGTACAACAATAAAATAAAAAATCAAAAAAACAGGCAGAACTAAACAATATATTATTTAGGAATACATACATAAATGGTAAAGCTAAAGAAGCAAAGGAATGCTTAAGACACAAGTCACAATAAGGGTAACCTCAGAGAAAGGGAGGGGAATGCTGTTGGAAGTTGGTTTCCAAGGGACTGGTAGTTTATCTGTTACCTAGAAAGTCTCTGTGGGTACACAGTGGGTTTTTCCCCCAATTAGCTGTCCATATATACTTTTCATGCTCTTTTGCATATGTGATATATTTTACCATACGCAAAAAGATTAGAAGAAAATAAACTAAAAGGTTAACTTTGGTTATACCTAGGTGGTAGAATTGTACATGATTTCCATTTTCTTCTTCATGTATTTATTTAAACATAATTTCCCTTTATAAACAAGGGAAAAATAATGATGTTTTTAAATTTAAAAAATCAAGATGGCAGTGGTGGTTGTTCGGTGTCAATGAGTTGGTTCCGACTCATAGCTACCCTGTGTACAACAGAACAAAACAGTGCCTGGTCCTGCACCATCCTCACAATCGTTATGCTCGAGCCCATTGTTGCAGCCACTGTGTCAGTCCATCTCGTTGAGGTTTCTTCCTCTTTTCTGCTGACCCTCTACCTTACCAAGCAGGATGTCCGTCTCCAAGGACTGATCCCTCCTGATAACACGTCCAAAGTATGTGAGACGAAGTCTCGCCGTCCGTGCTTCTAAGGAGCATTCTGGCTGTACTTCTTCCAAGACAGGTTTGTTCATTCTTCTGGCAGTTCTTGGTATATTCAATATTCTTCGCCAACACAATAATTCAAAGACATTGACTCTTCTTCGGTCTTCCTTATTCATTGTCCTGCTATCACATGCATGTGAGGCAATTGAAAACACCATGGTTTCCGTCAGGGGCACCTTAGTCCTCAAAGCGATGTCTTTGCTTTTCAATACTTTAAAGAGATCTTTGCAGCAGATTTTGCCCAGTGCACTGCATCGTTTGATTTCTTGACTGCTGCTTCCATGGGTGTTGATTGTGGATCCAAGAAAAATGAAATCCTTGACAACTTCAGTCTTTTCTCTGTTAATCATGATGTTGCTTATTGGTCCAGTTGTGAGGATTTTTGTTTTCTTTATGTTGAGGTGTAATCCATACTGAAGGCTGTAGTGTTTGATCTTCATCAGTAAGTGCTTCAGGTCCTCTTCACTTTGAGTAAGCAAGGTTGTGTCATCTGCATCATGCAGGTTGTTAATGAGTCTTCCTCCAATCCTGATGCCCCATTCTTCTTCATATAGTCCAGCTTCTGAGATTATTTGCTCAGCATACAGTTGAATAAGTATGGTGAAAGGATGTAACCCTAACACACGCCTTTCCTGACTTTAAACCACGCAGTATCTCCTTACTCTGTTTAAATGACTGCTTCTTGGTCTATGTACAGGTTCCTCATGAGCACAATTAAGTGTTCTGGAATTCCCATTCTTCCCAGTGTTATCCATAATTTGTTATGATCCACACAGTCGAATGCCCTTGTATAGTCAAAAAAACACAGGTAAACATCTTTCTGGTATTGTCTGCTTTCAGCCAGGATCCATCTGACATCAGCAGCGATATCCCTTGTTCCACGTCCTCTTCTGAATCAGGTTTGAATTTCTGACGGTTCCCTGTCGATGTACTGCTGCAAATGCTTTTGAATGATCTTCAGCAGAATTTTACTTGTGTGTGATATTAATGATACTGTTCAGTAATTTCTGCATTATGTTGTATCACCTTTCTTTGGAATGAGCAAAAATATGGATCTCTCAGTCGATTGGCCAGACAGCTCTCTCCCAAATTTCTTGGCATAGATGAGTGAGCCCTTCCAGCGCTGCGTCCATTTGTTGAAACATCTCAGTTGGTATTCTGTCAATTCCTGGAGCCTTGTTTTTCCCTTAGTTCCTTCAGTGCAGCTTGGACATCTTCCTTCAGTACCATTGGTTCTTGATCATATGCTACCTCCTGAAATGGTTGAACATCGACCATTTCTTTTTGGTGCAGTGAGCGTGTGTATTCCCTCCATCTTTTTTTAATGCTTCCTGTGTGCTTTAATATTTTCCCGGTAGAATCCTTCAGTATTGCCACTTGAGGCTTGAATTTTTTCTTCGTTTCTTTTAGCTTGAGAAATGCCGAGCATGTTCTTCTCTTATGGTTTTCTAACTCCGTGTTTTTGCACATTTCATTGTATTACTTTGTCTTCTTGAGCTGCCCTTTGAAATCTTCTGTTCAGCTCTTTTACTTCACATTTCTTCCTTTCACCTTAGCTACTCTGTATTCAGGAGCAAGTTTCAGAGTCTCTTCTGATACCCATTTTGTCTTTTTCTTTCTTTCCTGTCTTTTTAATGACCTCTTGCTTGCTTCATATATGATGTGCCTGATGTCATTCCACAGCTCATCTGGTACGTGGTCATTAGTGTTCAGTGCATCAAATCTATTCTTGAGGTGGTCTCTAAATTCAGGTGGGATATACTCAAGGTCATACTTTGGCTCTTATGGACTTGTTTTAATTTCCTTCAGCTTCAACTTGCACATAAGCAGTTGATGGTGTGTTTCACAGTTGGCCCCTGGCCTTGTTCTAACTGATGATATTGAGCTTTTCCATCATCTCTTTCCACAGATGTGGTTGATTTGATTCCTGTATATTCTCTCTGGTGAGAGCCACATGTATAGTCACCATTTATGTTGTTGAAAAAAGGTATTTCCAATGAAGAATTCATCAGTCTTGAAAATGCTACCATGTGATCTCTGGCGTCGTTTCTATCACCAAGGCCATATTTTCCAATTACCAATCCTTCTTTGTTTAACATTCCAATCACCAGTAATTATCAATGCATCTTGATTGCATGCTCGATCAATTTCAGACTGCAAAAGTTGATAAAAACCTTCAGTTTCTTCATCTTTGGTCTTAGTAATTGGTGCATAAATTTGAATAATAGCTGTATTAACCAGTCTTTTTTGTAGGCATATGGATATATCCTATCACTGACAGCATTGTACTTCAGGATAGATCTTAAAATGTTCTTTTTGATGATGACTGCCATGCCATTCCTCTTCAATTTGTCATTCCTGGCATAGTAGAACATGTGATTGTCTGATTCAGAATAGCCAATTCCAGTCCATTTTAGCTTAGTAATGCCTAGGATATTGATGTTTATGCGTTCCATTTCATTTTTGACGACTTTCAATTTTCCGAGATTCATACTTCTACATTCCACCTTCCTATTGTTAATGAATGTTTGCAGCTGTTTCTTCTCATTTTGAGTCATGCCACATCAGCAAATGAAGGTCCTGAAATCTTGACTCCATCCACATCATTAAGGTCGTTTCTTTGAGGAGGCAGCTCTTCCCCAGTCATCTTTTTTTTCCCCCCACGGGTGTTACTGGTTTTTTTTTTTTTTTTTTTTTTAATTGTACTTCAGGTGAAGGCTTACAGAACAAATAGTTTCTCATGAAACAGTAGTACACATATTGTTTTCTGACATTGGTTAACAACCCCACAACATGTCAACCCTCTTCCTTCTCGACCTTTTTTTTTTTTTGGTGAAAATCTACATAGCCAAAGATACACCATTTCAAAAATTTCTACATGCACAGTTCAGTGACATCAACTACGCTCTTCCAGTTGTGCTGCTATTCTCACTTTAGATGAAGGCTTACAGAACAAAATAGTTTCTCGTTTAACAGTGAGTACACATGTTGCCCTATGACAATGGTTAACAACCTCACAACACATTAACACTATCCTTACTCAACCTCGGGTTCCCTATCACCAGCTTTCCTGTCCCCTTCTGCCTTCTGGCCCTTGTCCCCCCAGTCATCTGTTGAGTGCCTTCCATCTGGAGGGTCTTATCTTCTGGCACTATATCAGACAATATTCCACTGCTATTCATAAGGTTTTCACTGGCTAATTTTTTCAGAAGTAGACTGCCGGGTCCTTCTTCCTAGTCTATCTTAGTCCGGAAGCTCTGCTGAAACCTGTCTACCATAGTGACCCTGCTGGTATTTGAAATACCGGGGGCACAGCTTCCAACATCACAGCAACCTGTAAGCCCCCACAGTATGACAAACTAAGATGGCAGTAGTCCTACCTTAAGTGCCCTAAACTATTCTCAAGTGCCACTTAAATAGGAGATTTTCTAAAACAGAGTTTCAATGTGTAAATGGCTGAATCAGACTTCTGATGACTATTCTAAATTTTTACTTCACATATAAGGGTAATAACAACCATACTTTATTTTTTCATCATACATTAATGATGTGGTTGAAGTAGTGTTCAATAGGATACTGCAGCATGGCCAAAATATATATATTCTCTGAGATATACTTTAACCAAATAGAACTGAAAGACACTGAAGTCTTCACTCTTACCATTGTGATCTTAATAATTTTTTTAAAATTAAGCAATAATAACTTTTATTGAGTACTTAGTGTTAAGTAGTGTTCTTAGGTCTTTGCATGGAATAGCTCATTAAATCCCCATAGCATTTTATGAAGGTTATTATCCCTGTTTTACAGGTAAGGAAATTGGCACAGAGAGATTAAACAGCTCACCCATAAGTTACTTAAAAAAACAAAATCTGTCAAGTCACTGTAGAGCTAAATCCCTAGGCCTTAGGCTTCCAGGAAGGTTAGCCGTTGCGCCACCCGATACCTTTAATAGTTTCTTGCATAACCATTTCAGAAGGATTATTTTTGGATATGAAGGCTAATGTTCCATACGTCCACATGAGTGCCATATATGGATAAAAATGTTTTATATATGCTAAAAATATAAGTAAGGACATTATTGCTAAATTCATGAAAAGATAGGATGGCAGCACAGAACATTTCTGCATGTTTTGTCTGCATACTGCTGCTGATAACTAATCGAGAAGTTTTAATCTGGTTACACAACCTAAACTGCATTGAAGAAAAATAGCATTTCAAACAAATGACCCCAATGAGAATAAAGAAAGAAACTTCAGAAAGGTTTCTTCCACCACTCGAACTTAGACATTGCATTTGTTAGTGTGGGATATGCTCTGTGTCATCACTTTATCTGTGGAGGAAACGTAAGAGTTCGATGACTAAGAGTTCTTTCCTTCAACATAAACCATCATACTTTTTCTCTTCCCATAATGTTGAAAAGAAAGTACTTGGTTAACTGGAACGCTAAGTTATTTCCATGCTCTGGTGGTTGAATTATTGAGTTTCAGTTGGTTTTCATGGGTTTCTACAAGACTGTAAAATAGGGAAGGTAGTGTTGGAGAATTACTAGAGATACGTAATAGAACCCCCTCATTAATTGATAGAGAATTAAGAGATTCTAAGACTATCCCTAGGTTGTCGCTTGGCAGTGGGAAAAGCATAGATGGACTAAACGTGAGAGGTTAAATGAGGACTGTTTCCCTGGATAAATCAAGGGAAATATAGAGAAAGCCTGCTTTCTTTTGTTCTAGTTGTGTGTGTATGTATAGAGAGGTTGTTTCTTCTTAAAGTTTGTTTTATTTTGCTGAGGCAGGGGGAAATGGAACAAATGAATCATTACGTCTGCAACACGCAGTTTTCATAAATCTGGCAGGGATCATTGTGGTTTCTACATTTAAACTGTGTACCTTGTCTTTACTTCCTCCACTTCAGACCTGACATGCTTTTTAGAACTTACTGTGTGGTTTAGAAGTCTTGAGAACCTTTTTTTAAAATATTTTCTAGGCAGAAGAAGAAGGTTATTTTGAAGCATTCAAAAATGAACTTGAAGCTTTCAAGTCAAGAGTAAGACTTTGTTCTCAGTCACAGAGTTTTCAGCCTATGACGGTTCAGAATCATGTTCTCCAATCTGGTGTTGGATCTATAGGTTTATTAGAATCCTTACCACAGGTAAGTTGGAAAAGAAAATATTTGTCTTATAAATGTATTAGTTCATGTAATTTTCCTTGTTTTGGACCACTGTTCCTTCTTATATGTAATATATGCATGACCGTTTTAAATATTCTTGCCCCAGAAGATAACCCTGAGTATCCTTCCATGCCTTGTTTTGGCATTGTATCTCCTCCATCTCTTGGATGTTTAGAGAGACACCAACTTCCACCTCCTTTTAGTATAGGAGAGATGAGTTGTACCTCAACATTCTGAAGGGCACGTGTTACCTATGGATCATCTCAATCATCAACTCCTCAAGATGGCTTCTGAATGCTTCTCATTCTGAGCAGAACTACATAAATCCTTATTAATTTATTAGGATGAATTATTTTCAATGCATACATCCAAGTGGCAAACGAGGCACAGTCGTCCCTCAGTATCCACGGGGGATTGGTTTCAGGACCCCCTCGCAGATAACCAAAATCCACAGATGCTAAGGTCTGTTACATAAAATGGCATAGTATTTACATACAACCTGCACACATCTTCCCATATACTTGAAATCATCTCTAGATTACTTATAATACCTAACACAATGTAGATGCTATGTAAATAGTTGTTAATGCTTACACTTAACACTTAATGCTTTCTCAGTCTTTGCAAGCACTTATCACAAACCAGAGAGACTTTTTTGCCAATGTAGGGGCAGCACTAACACTTCCATGAATTTCAGCTTGTTTCTGCTTTGTTGTGTGAACGCTCATTTTGCTCTTACCAACCCTACAGCCCACTTCAGCAAGCAACATGCCACTTTTCAAAAGATCTAAGATTTTTATTTTCTCATGGAGAGCTAGCAGTTTATGCTCCCTCTTAGCCTTTGAGGGATTGCTTTGACCACTTCATTGCTTTTTAGGAGCCATTTTTTCATAGAAACAAAGGGTGCACACAACACAATTAGCAAACAAACGAGACGCTAGGCGAACAGTGCTCAAACAACAAGTGCTGCAGAGAGACTGAGGATCTGTGAAATGGCGGGAGGCTACAGTAGGGTATGCCTACCCGTCACTTCATTCACGTGGATTCAGTGTAGTGCTCAGCGCGTGGCAAATTCAAGTTTTGCTTTTTGGAACTTTCTTTTTTTTTCCCGAATATTTTCCATCTGCAGTTGGTTGAATCTGCTGAGGTGGAACCCGCAGATACAGAAGACCAGCTGTAATTTGTTGCGTGAAGTTATTGTTATCCCTTTAAATGTTTGTGGTGCCTAACAGATCCAACATTGTTAGTACACGTTAATGTAGCTGATGCTAAGCTGCCAACTGTTTGAGCCTCTTCAAAGTCATCTATTAGATCAAGATAAAACAATGTCACCAGCATCAAAGAATGTCAGAAAGAAGAGGAGGTTAGAACACTGGTCTGTCTTATACTACTTAGGACTGCAATTTTAGGTCATCATTAGATTTTACTAGAAGCATTTCATAGAGCCCAGTCATCTCTCTAGGCCCCAAGATTTTAAGACCACCTTTAGCCTGATGGTGCAGTGGTTAAGAGCTACAGTTGCTAACCAGAAGGTTTGCAGTTCGAATCCACCAGCCACTCCTGTAGGGTCGCTGTGAGTCAGAATCAACTGGACAGCAACGAGTTTTTTTATTTTTCAGCCAGTTTATTCTGTTGCCTTCACAGTGAGAAGGGAAGTGTCACTCAGAAGACAATGTGAGGAGAGCACTGTGTGTATTTTTAAACCTCTTAAAGTGGTAGAACTTGAGAGATTTTCAGCATCTTAACCTTATGTTACTATAATTTTACCAGTCCAGTGTAGGCCAGGGGAACAGTTTAAGGAAAACAATTGATCATATCTAACTTAGACTAGAATATTATTCTCAAGGGTGGAAATAATTAATAAAGGTCTGATTTTTAAATAATTGGTAATGCTACCCCCTTAGTGTAAGCAGTAATCTCCCTAGATTTGTCCTACAGATTATCTCAATGTTATTTCAATGATTTTGAGAAATAGCCACAGGGAAGTAGATTTTCCAAGTGAATTTTATGACTAAGTCACTTTCAAGTCCAGTATATAAACCTCCTAAAATTAAGATGTTACTTAATGGATGCAAAGGAAAGAAGAGATTTTGAAAGATGCCATTGACATTGGACTCAGGAGGGGGAAAAATACACATTAAAATATCGTAAGAGGCCTGTCTTACCAAGACATTGTTTCTGGTTTGAGAAGTATGTTCTTACCATGTATTTCAGATGGCAGCTGAGCTCAGCTGCTGGGCATCCCTTCCAGGCTTTGTGGGGAGGGGCTGGGATTATACATTTCTGACACTGGTATGAATTGCTGACATCATCTGGGCTATTTAGACCTGATCCATCTGGGCTAACAGATCAGTTCCTCATGGTGGGAGAATCTGAACATCCTGGTCCAGTCCTCCTGGGAGAGAAGGACGAGATGACATTTCAACTAGATGTGCAGAAGGGTTATCGACTGGTTGAGGGAAGTAGGATATGATGAGAGGCAACCTGAGGGACCAGGTCGTCAACTGAGGAGGTTTAGAAGAAAATCTTACCTTAATGGTAACATCCTATTTTCATACCAATTTATAGCTTGTGAAGCACTTTTACATATTATAGCATTTGATCTTCTCAAAAACTCTGTAAAATATAGCTGCTACTACTAGTAGCTCCATTTTATGGATGAGTAAACTGAAGCTTATAGAGGTTAAGTAATTTACCTAAAGTCACATGATAAGTGATGGTGTTAATATTCCAGTCCTGGATTTCCATTCTACTTTACTGCACCAGACTGTTGCTGAATCATAGACTACAGACAAGACAAGAGAGTCATATTTTGAGTGCTCTTGCGAAGAACTGGTCTCAAAGCAGGAAACACTGAGAATGTTACTAGATACGAATATGGAGGAATCAGTGGGGTTTAAGTGTAGGTTAGGTTAGATATATTGGCATTTATTTTTTTTTTAAGTCTCTCCATGCTCCAAGTGTCTGGCAGTTCTGAGGGAGATAGATGGATGAGTTCTGGAGAATCTCTTCAGCCAACTCATAATGCTCAGAATTCTTATGGAAAACTGGAGCCTAGTCTGAATAGAGTAATTGTTAAGTTCTGCTCTGAAGGCCTTCAGAATTTGTCAGACCTGGCCTGGATTGTAGAAAATCTTAACACTCATTTTTTTGGAGAGTGGGATAATGTAACAAGGGTGTTAATTATTTATAAAAAGCTTAAATTTGGATAACAGTTTCGCTTTTTTTTTTTATCATGGTAAAATATAACAAAAACATTTCCTGTTTCAGCCACTTTTACAGGTACAATTCAGCGACATTTATTAGTCACCATGTTGTGCAACCATTACTACTAAACCAAAAGCAAACCCACTGCCTTCAAGTTGACTCATAGCAACCCTGTGGGACAGAGTAGAACTGCCCCACAGGCCTCCCAAGGCTGTAAATCTTTTTTTTTTTTTTTTTTAACTGAACTTTAGGTGAAGGTTTACAGAACAAACTAGCTTCTCATTAAACAGTACACATATTGTTTTATGATACTGGTTAACAGCCCCCCATGATATGTCACTACTCTCCCTTCTTGACCTTGGGTTCCCTATTACCAGCCTTTCTGTCCCCTCCTGCCTTCTAGTCCTGGCCCCTGGGATGGTGTGCCCCTTTAGCGTCATTTTGTTTTATGGGGCTGTCTAATCTTTGGCTGAAAAGTGAACCTCGGGAGTGACTTCATTACTGAGCTAAAAGTGTGTCTGGGGGCCATACTCTTGGGGTTTCTGCAGTCTCTGTCAGACTAGTAAGTCTGGTATTTTTTTGTTAGAATTTTGTTCTACATTTTTTTCAGCTCTGTCGGAGACCCTCTATTGTGATCCCTGTCACAGTAGTCAGTGGTGGTAGCCGGGCACCATCTAGTTGTAATGAACTCAGTCTGGTGGAGGCTGTGGTCCTTTGGGCTAATCTTTCCCTCGTATCTTTAGTTTTCTTCATTCTCCCTTGTTCCTGAAGAGATGGGACCAGTGGAGTATCTTAGATGGCTGCTTACAAGTTTTAAGACCCCAGATGCTACTCACCAAAGTAGGATGTAGAACATTTTCTTTATAAACTGTTAGGCCAGTTGAGCTAGATGTTCCCGGAGACCATGGTCCCCCCAGCCCCCAGCCCAGCAATTCGGTCCCTCAGGGAGTTTGGATGTGTCTGTGGAGCTTCCATGACCTTGCCCAAGGCTGTAAATCTTTATGGAGGCAGACTGCCACATCTTTCTCCTGCGGAGTGGTCGTGGGTTCAACCACTCACCTTTCAGTTAGCAGCTGAGCACTTTAACCACTGCGTCACCAGGGCTTCTTCCATCACTGCTCTCTGCTTCCACATATTTTCATCACCCTTAAGAGAACTGACTTCCCCTTAAGCAGTAACTCCTCCTGTCCCCTTCCCATGGTAACCACTAATAAACTTTGGTCTCCCTGCATTTGCCTAGTCTAGATGTTTCATATAAGTAGGATCATATAATATGTGTCCTTTTGAGTCTGATATATTTCACTCACCATAATGTTTTCAAGGTTCACCCATGTTGTAGCATGTATTGGGACTTCATTGTATGTACATATCATATTTTGTTTATCCATCCATTCATCTGTTGATGGACATTGAGGTTTCCACCTTTTGGCTATTGTGAATAATGCTGCAGTGAACACTGGTATACAAGTATCTGTTTGAGTCCTGCTTTCATTTCTTTTGGGTATATACCTACGAGTGGAATTGTCGGGTCATATGGTAATTCTGTGTTTAACTTTTTGAAGAACTGTCAAACTGCTTTCCATAGTGGCTGTACCATTTTGCATTCTCACCAGTGGCTGAGGATTCCAATTTCTCCACATCCTCTTCAACGCTTGTTTTCTGTTCTTCTGATAATAGCAATCCTAGTGGAGGTGAAGTGGTATTTCGTTGTGGTTTTAACTGGCATTCTCTAATGACTGATGATGTTGAGCATCTTTTTGAGTGCTTCTTGGCAACATTTTAGCTTTTAATTTTTTTAATTGACAAAAATCTTGTGAAAGGGGCCAAATACCATTATCTTTATTTTTTGAAAGGACTAAACCAAGGCCTCTTGGATAGAGGGACAAATAACCTTGTTTATCCTATAGACTAGCTTTTAGAACTGAAAAAAACAAAAACAAACCCATTGCCATCGAGTCGATTCTGACTCATAGCGACCCTGAAGGACGGAGTAGAACTGCCTTATAGAGTTTCCAAGGAGTGCTTGGTGGATGTGAACTGCTGACATTTTGGTTAGTAGCCGTAGCTCTTAACCACTGCACCACCCAACTGAGGTCCAGTGTTATTTAACATCCGAGACCTCAGTCAGTTATTTGTGCCACTTCCTTCATAAAGACTTGATTGGGAATAATCCAGACTCTTAACTAGTCTTTTGACTTTTACTATAAATGAACCACAAAGTATTGTACTTTATTAGGAGGATCGTTTGAAAACCCTGCCTCTCTATGGGACTGTTTTCCTCATCGGTATTTATTAAATAAACATTAATGAAATTAGGTGATATTTATTTAGAACTACTGAGTAGACAAAATTGAATTCTTGGGGAAAAATTTCCTGAAGTCCTGGGTCTTAAAGGCTTAGGTCCCTATTCATGGCATTTAACAAATAATGGTTTTATTTTTGCATTTATGGGAGAAAGTTTTTGTTTTGTTTCTAGTTTAGAAATCGGCAAATAGAATATTTATGCCTTCTGTTTAAAAAATACACAAACCTAAATTAAGCTTCTTTTATCCTCACTTGACCTAAGGGTCTAAGATAGTAATCTTCAAAATACATTGCTGGCTGTTCATATAATCACATGGAAAAAATTAGCCTTGTATGATTAAATAATTAAAACTACGCAGTTTTGTTAAAAGGAGAGAAAAGGGTAGTATTTGTATTTCTATTTTTCACATATATCATTCTGCATTACATCTCTTTGGATTAAATGACAATAGCTGTGTTTTCTGTATTTTCTTGGGGTTCAGCCCAAGTCTGACAAGTCCATCTTCCTGCCCATTGTAGTACACTCCTGGGAAATAGAGAATAGGAAACAATGTGTGGTTGCATCAGCTGGCCTAAAACTGGTTATCATGTGTTGTTTTTTCCCCTACATTGTTTTCCAGAATCCAGATTATCTTCAGTATTCTATCAATACAGCTCTCTGCAGTTTAAACTCAGTGGTACATAAAGAAGATGATGAACCCAAAATGATGGACACTGTGTAATTTGGTTAAGACTGCTGAGGCCAAGTACTATTTTGTTACAAGAAAGGAGGAACTTGGCTATTTTCTCGACACTTTTATGGGTGCTGCACTTTATTTTTGTTCGGGTTTTGATGGGAGGGAAGAAAAGAGTACTGAAACGTTTTGTTTTGTTTTTTAATGTGCTGCTAGGTTTGTTTTGTTTCTTGAAGAGAGGAGTGGTACCATAATTTGCAGGAAGTCAAACTGGACGTTTTTTTGGCTACTAAATTTGCCTTTAATCTTATTGTTCTCAATTTTGGAATCAAAGTATGAAAATGTGCACAAATTCAATGTTTACAAGAACTGGTTGATTCTAGGAGGCATCTGCTGCAGTCCCTTTTGTATGGATCTACACATGTCGTACTCTACAAAATGATTAAAGATAAAAACGTACTTGTACCTTACTTCGAATTTAGCTGTCAAATCTGGTGTATCATCATATTAAAAGCAATAAATCAGTAGTTGATAATCTGCTTTACTAAACTGGGTGGTACAAATTAGTCTTTCCCCTTAAAGTAGTAATACTACATTTGTATTTTCGGCACCATCAGCTAAATACTTGACGATAGTATAAATTTGATATAAGACACTAAATTTACCCCCCAGATATCCTTAAAGCTGTATTCCTTAGTAGATACTACCCTGTTGACTTTTTAATATTAAGGGTTGTAGTGATATAAAAAGTGATAAGAGCTGGGATTCAAAACCAAATCTGCTAACATAGGGAAAATATAGATTTTTTATATATATAAGATCAACTTAAAGCTCACTCTTAATTTCTTTACTTAACATTGTCTGGGATCTCTCAGGGAGCAAGTTTTATAGGAATACTAATGGCCTGCAAGAACAAAAGGAAGAAGAATCTGACTTTAAGAATTATGATTATTGTTTATTTCGCTCTGATGTAGCCCAAGGACTTTTTTAAAAAGCAGAAGGGAAATCTTGTAGAGCTAACTGCCTCAAGTTGCCAACTGCTTGTTTCAAATAATTTGATGACCCTTATCTGCAGTGATGGCTTTCATTACATTTGGCTCTGCTGTCTTTAGCTCTGTCTCCATATAATTCACTTCAAATATGCCAGGATATTTGATGATTTATTTTATTTGGAATTAGATGACAGTGCTAATTATGCTATCCTTACTATTTGAGGATTAAGCTTCTGACTCAATAGGAACGTAAGCTTTGAATTTGTATTGGGAACAGCCTTTGGTTCAGTGCCCTTTGAGACTAGTAGCAAACGTGGAAGATGTGGAAGATGGCTAACCATGGAATACGTGTCTCCATTTGAGAAACCAAATAATGCTAAGGGACCCGTATGGTGGTCAGACCTGGGACCTTGGCCTCATTCGCACCTTGTTTTAGCTAAGGTGATCGGGCACTTAGTACTCATAGAAATGGACTGGAATTACTGAATCATACTTCAGCTGTACATCACAATCTTCCTGATTTTCAGAATAAAAGTTTGTGTTTTTGATATATATACTCTATAATAAATAATAAAATATTTGACTAATTTATATGGTAATATTCATCGGTTTGTAATTATTATTATTTTTTACCAATGAGCTAGTTATAGAAGTACCCTGAGTCTCTCTCTTTATATTCTGTTCTGGAGCAAGCCCTTCCCATCAAATATAATGCACACAAAAATAAAAGCCCCGGTTTCACACGGATGTTAGCCGAACCATTATTTTCATTCCTTCAACTTCCCTTTTTCCCAGGATTTTCCTGTAAGCATCCAAATTGCTTTGAATTTCATTTTGCCTTCTTTAAGTTATAGAAGTATGAATGACTGATGGCTGGAAGGAAACAGAGTATCAATAAATTGAGTAAACTATTCTGGAAGGTTGTTTTTATTTTTTAAAACAGGAATTACTGAAGGAGCCAATCTTTAAAATTTGACTCTCTCTCTCTCTCTCTCTATATATATATATATTTATTTTCAAAGGGAAGTGTTCTCTATTTTGAGTGTCTGAAAGTGATTGGATTTATTTTGGGATATTTAGCAGTACTTTAGTACTTAGAACAGTAAATTGACATCCTTTTTATTTTTCTTTAGTAGTTAGAACTAACTCCTACCAAGAGAAATGTCCTCTGTTTTAAAAATAGTGAGGAAGAATATACTAAGCAAAAGGATAATTCCTATTTCAGGTTGGACAGTTTTCCCTAAGTAAATGAAACCAACCATGGAAAGTCCAGACGAGTAAGATGTCTTTGACATCAAAATGTCCATCAAAGATTCTTCTTTCATTTGATAGAATTTGTCTTCTAATAAAAGATTTTTTTTAAAACCAAATTGCCATCACTCCATTTATTCCATGTTAACCATCTCATTTTATCAATGGTGGTGGAAATAATACTGATTTTAAATCATTACTTGAGGATAGACGGATAACATTCTCTTCTGGTTATACCATTAGTGGTGGAAATGCTGATTTTAAATCATTAAGATAGATGAGAACAGACAGATGGGTAACATTCTCTTCCAGTTACACCATTAATGGGTCTTTCAAATTTTGCCTAATGAGCTCACCATCTACTATAACTTTTCTTGAAGAAAATCAGGTCTTTCTCTTCTTTCAGACTAGCATTCATATTCCTCCTTTAAGAGTGAATTAACATGCTGCCTAACGAAAAACATGAAGCTGGTTTAGTAAGTGGATTTTTTGATGGGGGAAAACGGTCGTGGGTTTAGGTCGAGTGATCTGAAATTACCCTTGGGATGTTTTCAGAGAAAAATAAAAGATGTCACTTCACTAGTCTCAATTTTAGGCTTTTAAAGTAAGGCCTGTATTTCAGTGTTTAAATTGAGTTGTGACAGAAATGGTACTCGTCTAGGTTGAGGCCAGGCTTTTTATTTCCGTTTTGCCACTGTTACCATATGTGTTTTAATGAGACCCCCACATTCTATGCATTCATTTCCCGTATATGATGGACATGTATGTACGGTTTCACAGGTTCTTCTGAGAAGCTGATTTACCCAATGTATACTTGCTTGCTTACTATGTGAGCTAACTTGAGGTGGGGGATACAAAGATGAATAAAAGTTGATTTTGGATTGATTACCAATAGTGAAGTTGAAACCATTATTCTAAGTCTTGAAGAATCAGATTTGAAGTTTGATCTTTTCCAAATATGAAAATGATTATTAAAAAAAAAAAATTCCCAGAATATATAGCCACATCGTTCACTTGGTTTCTTTAACTAGTGTAATTATTCATGCTATTTGTTCTTCATGTACTTACTTTTGAGTCCTGTAAAAAACATGACACAGTGCCACACTGATTTACACTTTGGGAAAATCGTTCCAAAGTGCAATTTGATGACAGCTTTTGCTTAGTGCTCAGTATGGAGAAATGGTGATCATCAGTAAGCTAAAATAAAAGGGGTGGGGTGCAGAGCAGACTATGGCCTCTAAAGCACACTGGCTTCTACCAGCAGCTTTAACCACAACTAGACTGTTAATGGACTATGTTTTAAAATTTTTGAACTATAACTCCCAAAATCAAAATTGCAAAGATAGAAAAGCTATTTCTGCAGTTTATCAACATCGGGGGATTATTTTCTTTTGTTGAGAAGACACCTGTTTTAAAACTCAAATTTATTCTTGCTATTGGTTGCAAGTTCTACAGCAATTTAATATAGTCTGAGGTCTCATTACAGTGACTTGTGGCTGGCTTCTGTCTTAGTCACATTTGGTGTTGCTGGAATGCTACCGTATATAGCTATGGCAAAGGAGCCATGGGCCAGTATTTAGAAAGTTGAGGCTATATTTAACCTATTTCATATAGAACTGAGAGTGGACATAAAATTTCTGGGTGGTGCTAACAACTGCCAATCTGTTTTCCCCCCAGCACACTCTGCTTATAAAAGATAGAACCCAGCCAACTCTGGCTCTTGCTCCAGAAAACAGTAGTGGCTTGAGGTACTGTCCTCCTTCAGTAGAAACAGAACCTAAGGCTTAGTAGCTTCTCGTCATGGCATGCAGCTCCAAACATATTTCCACACGGCACGTAAGTCATGACAGGCATATCAACGTTATGTTGAGTTAGCCGGATGGGCTACTCAGCAGTGATATTCTTAGAACTGTCTATGATTCCAACTCTTAGCCAGCGTAAAAACTTCTTTTTGTTTAATGAAGACAAAAGTCATTACAGGCATTTCCCAAAGTAATGGATGAATGTGCAAAACTTTGGGTTAATTGTTCGGTGGGGGCAGGGAATGCTCACATGGGAAAAAGACTTAAAATTTTTCATAGCTGTGTTCTTCTACCTCTTAATTTCCAAACTCTGAAGGGTATCAGGAAGGCAAGTATGGCTACAGTACTCTAGCAGGAGATAAAATCAACGAGACTTCAGGGCAGCAGAACAGAAAGTGGGATGGGAAAGGCTCTGAGAGGCACCAAAGACAAAGTAATGTCCACAGTTCTGAAATGCAATTTTATTATAATAAAGATTAATACATGTTGTATAACCTAGTGGTAATCCATAAGTTTAGTAGTTCAAAACATTTTTTGAAAGTACACAGTATTCAAATAAGGCATTATAGAAAGTTTTGTAAAGAATGAAACATTTACTGTAATCCTTTTGAAAAGCCTTGGGCCATTCTGCAAGATCAACAGTGAATGAAAAACAGAAGAAAGAAAAATAAGTTTTCCCCCTAAAATACATAAGAACTACTCGCTGGCATTTGTATATTAAGTGACGAGTAAAATGGGCCAAATTTTCAAACAACTCGTGCAGGAATTTGTTTGATTTCATTTAGCACCAAGTAAGAGTAGCAGCCCTGGTGGTGCAGTGCTTAAGTGCTCGCCTGCTAACTGAAAGGTGAGCAGTTCAAACCAACCCACCAGCTGCTTTGCAGGAGAAAGATGTAGCCGGGAAGATTTACAGCCTTGGAAACCCTATGGGGCAGTTCTGCTTTCTGCTACAGGGTCACTGCCAGTCAGATGCAACAACAGCAGCAGGGTTTTTTTTTAAAAGAAGATTGAATATGCCTCTTAAGATATAGTTGTGTTTCTCTTCCACCTGGTATCACCCTACTCCTACCGGCCATAGGACATAATCATGTGTCCTCGCTGCCCCACTAAGGAATCTAGGATACTGGCTGCTCAGATCACACTCGCCTGGTTCTTTCAGAATCCTTAAGATAGGACAGCTGGCAGGTATCAACTTCTCTGATCAGGAATTCAGAAGCCCTTCTTCAGCAAACTAAATTCCTGGTCCTTTTTAAAAGGGCATGTCAAGTCATTTTATTACTCCACCTTGGTTACTAATTATGATTGCTACTGACGTCACGGGCATTTTCCCCAGGTAGGCCTGATCTGTTTCCTAATGACCAAGTAGGCTTATTTTATGTAGTGCTGTTGTTGTTAGGTGTCATGGAGTCGGTTCTGACTCACAGCAATCAACAGGACAGAGTAGAACTGCCCCATATTGTTTCCAAGGAGCAGCTGGTGGGTCTGAACTGCTGACCTTTTGGTTAGCAGCTGTAGCTCCTAACCATTGCGCCTCCAGGGCTCCGACATAGTGCCACAAGTTTTCTTTATCCTTTCTTCCTTTTTTTTTTTTTTGGTACTTGTTAAACATCAAAGCATATCATACATTTTGATCGTAGAGAAACTGGCAGGTACATCCTAAAGCACACATTTCTTAACCTGAGTCACACTGGAAAACCTAAGACTTTACATTTACCACTGAATTAAAGTCCTTCAGGTTCGATGCTTAACCAGGAACTTACAGTGTCAAATTCTAAATAAATCATATCCCTCAGGACACATGGTTTCTCAAAAGAAACCCAGTCACTGAAGTAATATTACCATAAATGCTCTGACACATTTTTATAGCAAATTGGAAATTCTAAGTAAAAGGAAGATACGTTTAACAACAAAATAAATAAGAGTATATATGGCCGGCTTGTACGTTTCTTAGTTTAAAGGCAGCAGTGAATTTGCATTCTGCAACTGATCTGTAAATCCAGTTGTTTTTTTCTGGAATTTTAGAGATACAGTGTCTCACAAAAACACATCCCACAGCGCTAGGAATGTCTCTACTTGGCATCAGTCTATATATATGCCTCGATAAGATACTCTCCCCAAATCAGTATAATGTCTTTTTTTGTTTACTTTTCCAGAAAAACATGGAAACCTTTATCAACCACTTACTCTTACTGAACAAAAATCAGATTACTAATTGCTCTTTTCATTTTGATCTAAAAAAATTTTTGTTAAGACATCACTGATGTTTTATGATTGCACACCCACAAAAGATAACTGAATAAAACACACTAGACAATTTCAGAAGAGAAATCTTAGTATCTGACTCATCTGGCACATCCTTAGTATCTAGAAAAAAATCAATAGAAATCAAAATATCATTTTCAAAGAATTCATACGTGCAGGAGTCTTAGGATGAGGAGAAGGTTCTGCTCATTGCACTAATTACTTGCATTTTTCCTCATGGATGAACTGAGGCTTTCTGGTTTGTTTGTGGAACTTTTGTTTGGAGAAAAGCATATACATGGGGCCAGATCTTGTTGGTTTCTGTTCCAGAGAATGTTTCCAACACCCCCTTCTTCCTAAAGATGGGGAGAAAAAGAGCACAGGTCTGAGTGTTCTGATGAGCTATGTCAGAGTGATTCTGTAGAAGGTGATAATGTGGCTTTAGGGGGCTCAGTAAGGGCAGGTCTGTGATCTAAAACGACGCCCAGTGCGGGCGTGGGAAAGCCTAGATTTTGGTTTCTTTTGTGCCCTCGGGCTTATGGAAATGGTCACTTAAGAACAGCACCCACTGTATGTTAAGCCCCGCACTGAGTGCTTCACATACAATACTTCATGTAATTCTTTCGGAGCTCAACTTTCCTGATAAAACTGTGTTTTAGAGATGTAAAGTACAGCCCAGCTCACTCAGCTGGTAGGTTTCCAAACCTGGGGTCTGGCAGAATCTGGAGTCCCCTTTGGTTTCCTTTGTCCACTTACCTATGTGCAGAAAGAGCTTTCTAATACTTGTCCCTCCTTCTTTTCACCTAGGTTTTTTTTTTTTTCCCTCTATTCTGCCCTCTGAATTTTAGAGTAAACAGGAAGAAAAAGTGTTGTTTTTACTTTTTCCTAGTGGGTTTCTCCATCTCCCCCAGGGAGATTTGCCTGGCTTGTCACCGGGCGGGCAGCCAAAGTCCATTTACTGCAGTTCCTGGGGACAGTGTGGTGAGGGGAGATCAGAATCCAGCTGCCTTTCAAACTACACACATCGCCTCCAGAGATTCTGGCCTTCCTCTTGCTTCTCCCCTTCCCCAACGTGGTATGGCTGCCTGTGTGTGCGCGCGCACCCTCTAAAGGCTGCACGGAGTCCTTGGGTGCTGCAGACTATTCGAGTCCACCGAGAGGCGCCTCAGAAGAACAGCCTGGCGATCCGCTTCCCAAAGGTCACGGCCTTGAAAACCCTACAGGGTGAAGTTCTACTCAGCAACACATGGGGTCGCCATGAGTCAGAATTGACTCGACGGCAACTGGTTAGCCAGTACTTAGGAGTCCCTGGGTGGTGCAAACTGCTCGGGTCCACCCCGAGGTGCCTCGGAAGAAAAGCTTGGTGATCTACTTCTGAAAAATCAGCCGTGGAAGACCCTCTGGAGCCCAGTTCTACTCTGACACACATGGAGTCGTCATGAGTCAGAGTCGACTTGACAGCAACAGGATTTTTTGGTTAAAGGCTGCGTAAGAGCACGTGGAGAACTCTGGTTTATTACTTTCCACAAACCTCTGCAATCCTTGCTAGGTTTTCCAAGGTTTCACTGGGGACAAAACTATTCCTTTCTCGATACTTCATAGCATTTACTACAGTTGAGATTAACAAATATTCCCACTGTTTTCTTGGAAGAAACAACTAAGGGAAGAAATCACACCAATACAGTACTCTGCAGACAGTATAGACGCCCTCCTGCTTCAGAAGTCACAGGCATCATATAAAACTTTCAAGACACCGAGCTTCGTAACTGTGGTAAGCTTCTGGAAGAGCCACTTTAAAATCAAGCCAGTCTCACAAGCGGGTTAATTACTGAGGGCACAGCGGCAGGCTCTGTTCAGTCCTAAAGCTCTCCCTTGCACGAACATTTGCCAGGTTCACTTCCATGTAATGAAATGAACAGCTTCAACAATTGGTCCTCCATAGAGTAACAGCATCCTGTTCCTGTTCGTAAACACAGACCTAATTACGCTAGAAGTGTCCCACTGCTGAGAAGAGTTTTGAAAACAATACAACTGTTAGTATTTTAAAATAACAATGCAGCCCATCACTAAGGTGGCTGCAAATACCCCTTTCCATTTCTGGTTAAGGCTGCTACTAGTTGTACCTGTGGAAGTTAGAGGGAAAAGCTTGAATTAATGGCAAGAGACAGCATAAGCAGGAAGCCTAGGGAGACTAGGATTTCTTTTAAGATAGTGACCTGAGTCACTGCTTCATCTCTGCAGCCCTCCCCAGCTTCCTTCCCCACATTTTGACAGAACTAACCCCTTCCTGGCTGATCCAATGGCTAACACACTCAGCTGCTAATGTGAAGGTTGGAGGTTCGAGTCCACCCAGAGGTGCCCTGGAAGAAAGGCCTGGCGATCTACTTGCTAAAAATCGGCATTAAAAACCCTTTGGAGTGCAGTTCTACTCTGACACACACTGGGTGGCTGTGAGTCAGAGCGTCAAGGCAACTGATTTCAGTGGTTTGATTGCTTTCACTGGTTCCGTGATTACCTCTACTAATAGCCCTGCAGTGTTGTTTTCATCTGTCCAGTATGAGAGCCTCTCCCTTCCGCTGACCTCTGGGAAGCAGGCTCTCCACCAGTCTCCGCCCCCACTGCCCAGCTCCAAGGATAGACATGATAACAGCTGATCCGCGCCAACCCCAGGACTTTTGCTGGAACTACCTGGCAGAAGAGGTTCCCCTTCCTGCTGGGGAAGCTGAACCGGGAGGATGTAAGCTGGAGCGCTGGGGGGCTGCCACCCAGAAAGAGCCCCCTCCCTGCCCCTGAGATGGGGCTGAGAGCGACCAAGGCCTGATGAGGCTGTGTGAACACTGGGACCCAGCCATCTACCTTTGGACTTTTAAGTTAGAAGGCCCACAAATTCCCCTTTTGCTTACTGGGGATTAGGTTCCCGATTAATATAAGCACGTATCACACCGTGACAGATGTTGTTTACCCAGCTCCCCACAACACCCACGTACAGAAGGACAGTTTCTTGGGGACCTGGCAGGGACTGGATCTAAGTGTGGACCAGGGGCCTAGCCCAGCGTGTGACGGAGTAAACTGCAATAGTTAACAGTGATTCAAGAGTGTCTTTATGGGGATCATCTCCCAGGATTCCCTTCACCGCGCCCTGAGGTAGGTGCTAACATTGCTCAGATATTACCGATAAGGAATTTGTGGCACAGAGGTTAAATACCTTGCCCAGCGCCACACAGCTGGGCGCCTGCAGAGCCAGGATCAGTATACCAATCACAAAAGTAAAGTAACAGCTACTGGAGAGAGTGAATCGCCAACTCTTTGTAAGTTCACCCCCCAAAAAATAACTAATACAGCAGTGTGGAGACTATGCCTTCCGATTTCACTGCATACTTACCCTATTACTAACAACAGCAGTATTAGCTAATAATTACAGAGTGCTTACTAGGTGTCGGGCACAGTTCTAAGAGCTACACATGGTAACTCAATCTTTCAACCCTACATGTTATCACCCCATTTTACAGAGAAGAAAATAGGCAGAGGTTAAGCAAAAGGTTACCAAAAAAAAACCAAAAAACGTTGCCATCGAGTCGATTTCAGCTCATAGCGACCCTATAGGACAGAGTACAACTGCCCCATAGAGTTTCCAAGGAGTAGCTGATAGATTTGAACTGCTGACCTTTTGGTTAGCAGCCATAGCTCTTTACCTGTGCCATCAGGGCTCTGAGCAAGAGGTTAAGGCCAAGTTAATAATTGGTGGAGCTGAGGTTTGAACTTGGACAGTCTGGCTCCAGAGTCTGTGCTCTAACCAGGATGCATGCCTGACGCTCAGTTATTTTTCAGCATGAGAACAGATGAAAGGAAAGGAGGCACAAGCAATCCTCTGTAAGGAGGCAGGGCTGAATAAGGACACTGGGTTGTTAATTAGCTGAGTCAGACCGACCCTCATTCAGTAGATTCCCAGATTTGTGTGCAATATGAATTATCTGAAGAGCAGACAAAACCGTGTTAGAATATAAGCTTCTAAAGACCATTACTGAGTCAAATAAGTGATCGGACGAGAATTTGCCATTTGAGACGCTTCCATGCTACCGCGTCCTCTACTGGCATAGGTACCAACACAAACAGTTGCTGTCAAGTTATTTCCAATTCATGGCAACTCCTGAGCGAGTTCACTGTTTGTACTGCTCCGGGAGTGGAAGTTACCAGGTTTGCCTCCCCCATTCACCCCAGCCCTCCCTCCACCAGACAGCAGAGTTGGGTGAGACTGGCCCACCCCCAGCTGCAGGTGTGGACCAGTCAGTGTGATCCCTCCCACCCCGGTGATGAGTTCAGAGATGGGCAGTAACTCAGGCCTAAAACAGTGTCCCTGGGTGGTGCAAACAGTTAACATGCTCGGCTGCTAACCGAAAGGTTGGTGGTTCCAGTCCACCCAGAGGCACTTCAGAAGAAAGGCCTGGCAATCTACTTCTGAAAAGTCAGCCACTGAACACACTATGGAGCACAGTTCTATTCTGACAAGCATGGAGTCTCCATGAGCCAGAATAGGCTTGACGGCAACTTTGGTTTTAAAACACTGCAAGGCATTCTGAGTGGGGCAAGGTGCCCCACCTCCTCCTTCACGAACGAGAAGGTGTTGGCTGTTCCTGGTAACACCCTGCAACTGTGAGGAAGCCTGCCTGAGCACAGAAGAAGGCGGGGCTGACAGAACGGCAGCCTTTGAGCCACACACAGCTGTAATCAAACCGGTGGCTGACTGAAGCCCAGCCTACCTTCTGGGCTTTGCTGTAACACGAGCTAATAACTCCCCCTTGTTATTGAAACCACTTTGAATTGGGTCTTCTGTTATGTTAGCACTTTGCTGTACAGCATGGACAATCAAAAACAGGCTCAGGACCCTCCTGTGTGCCCAGCGTCATCATACAAGAAAAGTTCTGGGAAGCACAGCGCTCACCGGTAATATTCCAGGACCGGCTCCGTCTGCGCCTCGTACGCCTTCAGCCTCTTGATGACCGTCTCCGGCTTGTCGTCCTCACGCTGGACGAGAGGCTCCCCAGTCAGGTCGTCAACGCCCTAAACGGGAGTTAGAAGGTCTGATTCCCCACGTCAAAGCCAGCCTGATACTTCTGAAGGGTATTTCAAACAGATGTGATTTTAAAATAATTCTTAAACAGACATCATCTCTATGCAAGCACCAAGCACAAAAATGTGCTGAGTTTTAAATGATGGAATCAAATCCAAAGACATAATTGTGACACAGAGCCAGGAGACCCCAGGATCTTTTCCACAGTGGCAGTCACGGTCCCCTTGGAGTAAAAGGTTTTGTAAGCTGCCTCCAAATAATTTCATGTATATACAAAAAGATTCAGCTATAGACTAGGCATCTCAACTGCAAGCCCTAAATAAATGAAGGTGTCCCTAATCCCAATAGCCCTAACTGCTAGTACATTCCCTGGCAGAGACTGGAAAAAAATCAAGGCTTCCGAATGAACAACAAACCCCTGTTGCTCCTGGATGGAGTTTCTGGATGGTATAAAGGGTTAGTGCACTCAGCCGCTAACTGAAAGGCTGGAGGTTCGAGTCCAACAAGAGGTGCATCAGAAGAAAGTCCTGGTGATCTATGTCCCAAAAATCAGCTACGTAAAACCCTATGGAGCACAGTTCTACTCTGACATTCATGGGGCCACCATGAGTCAGCATCAGCTCAATGCCAAGTAGTTCACTGCTTGCTCCTGGGGACGTGTGTACTACCAACCTGAGTGGACTAGGCTTAGCTGACTACACCCAGTAGCAGCCTGAGAATATACCTTAGGAGTTCTGGTCAGGTACAGGATTTCCAAGTTCACAATACCTATGCCTGCAGGTCTGCAAGGCAAGAAGACTGGGGGGGCAGTTTGCTACGTGGAAGGCCATTGTCAGCTCTACCACAACTACTCACCACGGTCTTAGGAGGGTTGAATTCGATGTTGTAGACGCGACCACTGGCTGGATGAATCCAGCGAGCAGTGAGGCGTTGCTTAATGACCTCGAAGGGCACGTTCAGGTTAATCACCGTGTCTATCTGATAAACTCTATCCAAGGCTTCAGCCTGTGGAACTGTCCTTGGAAAACCTTTTAAAATTTAAAAAAGAAAGAATTAGTGTTGAGCAATCTTTATTTTACTTGGATCCACAATCAATGCTCATGGAAGCAGCAGTCAAGAAATCAAATGACACATTGCATTAGGCAAATCTGTTGCAAAAGACCTCTTTAAAGCATTAAAAAGCAAAGATGTCACTCTGAGGACTACAGTGCACGTGACCCAAGCCATGGTATTTTCGATCGCCTCACATGCATGCGAAAGTTGGACAATGAATATGGAAGACCGAAGAAGAACTGATGCCTTTAAATTGTGGTGTTGGCGAAGAATACTGAATATACCACGGACTGCCAAAAGAACAAAAAAATCTGCTTGGAAGAAGTATAGCCAGAATGTTCCTTGGAAGGGAGGGTGGTAAGATTTGTCTCATGTACTTTTGGACATGTTACCAGGAGGGATCAGTCTCTGGAGAAGATAACATGCTTAGTAAAGTAGAGGGTCAGCAAAAAAGAGGAAGACCCTCAACGAGATAGACTGACACAGTGGCTGCAGCACTGGGGTCAAGCATAACAACGACTGTGAGGATGGCGCAGGACCGGGCAGTGTTGCGTTTCGTCCTGTTCCATTGTGCATGAGGTCACCAGGAGTCAGGAGCCAACTTCAGGGCAGCTAACAACCACCACAACAACAATCTGAACAAAAGGAAAGACGCACCAGGAAGGCTGACCACAACTACGTAGATCAGCTACTGAGGGCAACCCTTCGAAGCTGCTGCTGGGAGATGCCCCTGCGGCGCCATTCCCAGGTGCATCCTTGGTCCTCCTGCTCTGCTCTGGGACAGCAGGCAGCCCAGCCATCTGTCAATACAGCCGTTGACAACGCTGGTTTGGCTCACCCTACATCTCCCTCTCATCTGTGTCATTTCTGCCCTTTTCTCCACCTACTGCCCCTTTTTATATCTTTCACACTCCATTCAGAACCAACATGCCTGCTCCTAGGAAGAAACTGGACTAACATCGGGTGTATTAAGCCCCTGAGAGACAGAACTTTGGGGATGGGAATCCTTCCCACAATTCACCCACTAAAGAACTGGCTCATATGTGCGGCGGGTGTAGGCCAAGCCCCTGCTTCTCTGAGCAAGAGGTGACTGGTCTACCCCGGCTCCTCCACACAGCTTTAAAGTTTTCACCGTGAAACAGAAACACGTCTGAGAGGCCACAATTGAGAGCACCAGCTTACAGCAAGTGCTGCTCCCCACTCTGTAATTTCCGTCTTTCCATCTTCCCGGCTCCCTAACCCTTCCCCTACACTGCCCAACCCCAGGCCTAGCAAGGGGCTCATCCTTCCAGGTTTTGCTCTGTCACTTAAGGGCTCTGTGACCTACCCTTCCATTTCTAACCTATAAAACAGACATAAGACAGAGTCCCTATCGCACACAGTACTGAGGATGACATGCCTTCCACACAGTACACGCCTAAGACACAGCCGTTCTCTGCCGAGTCACTAATTCACTCTTCACAACCAAGCCCACCTCCCTTCCTGTGTAAGCTCACTCAGGCACTGTCTGTTGACTCCCTTTCCTTCTAGACTCTTCCTTACAGGAAATCAAGGGATTTAGGAAATGCTTCCTCTCCCAGTTCACCTCTCTCCTTCTCAACCTCCTGGTCCTGCTTCCTTCCTCTGCTCGCCCGACACAAGAAGCTTCCAGACAGCTCTCCTTGGGCTTTTCAACTCATCCCTAACACTAGCTCCAACAAATAAACCAAGGTCATGTTCTGCCCAACTCTCCTTCCATTTGTCCTTTCCTTCCCCTGCGTGATTCAGGTCTAGTCCACATGGAACCTTTGGGCAAATTAGAAAATAGCATGCCTTCTTCTTGGAGGGTAAACCCGGAGATAGGGCTGCAGAGCTTGGTGAATACTGCAACACCGAGCGCTGGCATGCGTGTGTGCGTGTGTGCCCACGCATGTGTGTGCTGTGAATGCACGTGTGTGTGCAGGTTCTGTGCATGTGAACTATGCGTGGGAGAATGGAGACGACTAGGAGAGAAGAATGCATAAATAGCAAGACCAGATGAGTGTACCCTCTTCCAAAAAAGGATGTTATGACTCAGATCTTCAAGGAAAGACTTACTCTAGTTTAAAAAACAAATCTCTTTTGTGCCCCCTAAATATCAACAAAGCAATAATTAGAAGCTGAAAACTCCACCTTTCTTCAAGGATTCCGGCCACACCGCTGGCTGGGAAAGTTACAGCCTTAAGTTACTTTTCCAGCCTCCCTACTTCCTTCTGTGGTGACCCTCCAGGTGATAAAATATTCTCAGAGGAAGGGAGGTGGAAATAAAGACACATCCGAAGGGAGCTTAGAAATCATGTGATTCACCTCCCTCTTTCTGTTCTGGTAAAGAACTGACAAAGCCTAGGGAACACGGCTTGTCCAAGGCCTCAGGTGGCTCCTGAACCGCCCCCTGCTGACAGTCTCTAGCCCATCAATGCTTATTCTCTGGCCAGCGGCGCTCAGCGTCTTGGGCAGCTAAAAACAGAACCCTGGTGGTGCAACGGTTAAGCGCTCAGCTGCGAATCAAAAGGCTGGCCGTCTGAACCCACCCAGCGGCTCCACAGGAGAAAGACCTGCCCCCATAAAGATCACAGACTAGGAGACCATATGGGGCTGTCTTACTCTGTCATAGAGGATCGCTCTGAGTCGGAATTCACTTGATGGCACCTAACAACAATAAATGCTCGCGACAGCTCCACTTACCATCCAGCAGCCAGCTACACTGGGTGAGATGCTTCAGCTCATGAAGGACCAGCCGAGTCATGACATCATCTGGGATGAGCTTCCCTTGGTCAATGAAAGTCTTGGCTAGCACACCAATTTCTATGGCAGAGAGGTGGAAAAGCAAATGGGCAAGCACACTTGTCTTCTTCCATCCCAGGCCCCTAGGCCCTGGTTACCTGAGGAGCAGCTCTGGGTAGCGTGTACATATGAAAATGTGCATCCTCTACTTTGTGATAAAAACAGAAAACCTGTTGCCATCCATAGCGACCCTATAGGACACGGCAGAACTGCCCCCTAGGGATTGCAAGGAGCGGCTGGTGTAACTGCCCACCTTTTGGTTAGCAGCCGTAGCTGTTAACCACTGTGCCACCAGGGCTCCGATTAAAACAGAGGCTACAAAATAGCCAACCTGATCTCAATTATATAGAAATATAAAAATGTAAACGTACAGACCAAAAAGAGAACAGAAAGCTACAGATCAATATGTTAACGGTAGTTGTCTCTGTGTGACAGAATTATGGGTGATTTTTACATCTTTGTACTTTTCTGTATTTTCCAGATTTTCTATCAGCAGTTTGTGACTTACACTTCTAATTTTTACCTTCCCCTCTCCCCAAATTATATGCAAGGACTTCCAGTCCAGCATGTTATTTAGATTTTGGTAAGTATTTATTGGTCTGATTCCTAGTAATTTAATATTATTTCTAAATAGGCTCCTTATAGAAAAGCTTATTTTCTTTTTAATTCAAAAATTAACACATTTGGGAGCTTCCATACCTACAAAATACAAACAGCTAGTTTCAAAGTAAATTATTCGTAATAAGTGAAATTTCTACAAAGTTATACACAAATAAAAATAGGAAAGGAAGGTTAGGAAAAAATAAGGAAATTCAAATCCACTCTTATGGTAGTAATCAGAAGTCCTAAACGACAGAGACATTAGTCTGAGAGATGACTATCAGCATTATGTAAGAAGCCATTTCTAATTCTGGCTCCTCCCCTTAAAGTCTGGTGACTTACGTTACCTAAACCAACCACAGCTCATATCCCAGTAAGCTGGAAATATCTCATTGTTTGAGCAGCTATGAAATACAAAAGAGAGGCCAAACCAATGTGTAAATAATAGTTCTGTTTTACAGGCACCCAGTTCCTGCCAAAATTGCTTTTAGCATCATTATATAATAAACTACATAAAACTTTATTTTTAAAATGTCAAAATAAAATGAGGACACTGACGGGACGAGTTAACCGACAGCTTTCCACCCAATTCAGGGCTTTTAAAAAACTTTCCTCAAATGATAAAGACCCGTCAGCATAGTGGTGACTTCTGAGGAGACAGGAAGGAGACAAGAGTGGGAGGGGCACACAGGGACCCCCAAAAGTACTGGTTTCCTGTCTGGTGGTGGGAAAATGGGCATTCGTTTTTATTATTTTTTTAACCACACACTGACATTATTATACTTTCATGCACGGCATACTTCACAAGCATTATAGTGAAAACAAACACCTCACTCAACCATCCACCCAATCTCTCCTCTTCAGTAAAGCACCATCAGGTCTCCCCCCACCACCCCATTCACTCTCCTTACACCCTCAGGATGAAATCTCAACTCCAAAACTGTAGAAAGGCCCATCTGCCTCAGGCCCCACCTCACCTCTCCCCTTGCCTCCCCCATTTGCACCCTACCCTGAAACCATACCCCTAGCAAAGAGCTCCACACACTCGGGGTCCTCCTAGCCTGCCTACAAGCTCCTTTCTCCTCTACTTTGCCTGACTGGCTCTTACTCATCTTTCAGGATACATCTTAAAGGGCCCTTCATCAATCAGGAGGCTTCCCTCAACCTAGGTGACCAAATGTTCCTCCTCTCAACCTCCATAAAGTCACAGACTTGTCTCTACCGGAGCACTTAACCACACTGCTAAAACCATTGGTTTACATGGCCATCTGCCCACCTGTCCCCCACACTACACCCTGATGTGAGCACCTCCTGGGAAATCCACTCGTCTCTGTATCTGCCTAGCACACATTAGGTGCTTGATGAATCCACAGATGGTTGGGTGGGTGCGTGGATGGGTGGATGGTTAGATGGATGGGTGGATGGTTAGATGGATGGGTGGATGGGTGGGTGGATGGGTGGACGGACTGACAGACTGTGTAGATCCTCTTGGATGCAATGGGCAAATCTGCTGCAAAAGACCCTCTTTAAAGTGTTGAAAAGCAAAGATTGCGTGGATCCTCCTGGATGCTAGCTGTGGAATTTTAAAAAGGCCTAACTTTGTTTAAAAACACCAATCCAGCAAAAGGCTACTTTTTTGAGACAGTATTCATCATTAGGTTCACCTTGTAAAAACTGCTCTTTAAACTATTTAAACAAACTATGGCGCACCCATAAAATATTGTGCAGCCATAAAAAAGAAATGGAAAAGGAGACACAACCCAAATGTCTATCAACTGATGAATGGATATATAAAATGTGGTCTACTTCCAATTGGCAATGAAAAGGAATGAAGTACTGATTCATGCTACAACATGGATGAACCTTGAAAGCACCATTTGGAGTGGAAGAAGACAGACATAAATGGCCACATATTATATGCCATTTATATGAAATGTACAGAACAGGCAAATCAACAGACAGAAAGCAGATTAGTGGTTGCCAGGGGCTGGGGCTAGGGTGGGGTAGGCATGGGCTAATGGGCATGAGGTCTCTCTTTAGGGGTGGTAAAATGTTCTAAAGCTGCTTGTGGTGATGTGTGCACAACTGTGAATACACTAAAATCTACTGAATCGCACATTTTAATGGGTAAACTACATGGTATGTAATTTAGACCTCAATAAAGCTGCTAGGGAAAAAAACTGTGGCACTCCCTATGGAAAGCAATATTGTGTCGAACAGTATGTAGAGTATGCTATCATTTGTGTAAAATAAATAAAACCAGAGGGAAGACTAGGTAAACATTTGATTGTATGTTCATAAAATATCTCTGGAAAGGATCTTTTCACTAAATATTTTTTATAATTTTTGTCGTTTCAAACCATGTAAATGTACTGCCAATTACAAATTAACTTTTTACCATTATAAAATAACTTGAGCACTCCACGACTAGCTGAAAGGTTGATGGTTCAAACCAACCCAGTGGCGCCTCAGAAGACAAGCCTGGAGATCCGCTTCTGAAAAGTCACAACCATGAGACTGTTCTAGTCTGCACACATGGGGTCGCCATGAGCTGGAATCGACTCAACAGCAGCCAAGAACCACCACCAGCCACATTATTCTAACTAGGCATGACTAGGCTGCACAGTAAAAGGAGGCCTGGTGGCACAGTGGTTAAGGGCTCAGCTGCTAACCGAAAGGTCAGCAGTTTGAACCAGCTGTTCTGTGAGAGAAAGATGTGGCAGTCTGCTTCTGGAAAGATGACAGCCTTGTAAACCCTATGGGACAGTTCTACTCTGTCCTATAGGGTCGCTATGAGTTGTAATCGACGCGACAGCAAAGTGGTTTTTGAGTTTAACTTAAAGATGTGAAGAAATGAGATGCACTACGTTTGGAGCAGACAGAAGGGGACAACAGGCATGTCATGGGGTGTGAAGAATAAAGAAAAATAAATATCTTAAAAAGTATTTGTCAAACTTTGGACAACCACCTGCCACCCTCACAGTTTCTGCCTTAGCCAAATTATTATTTACTACATACTTTTCATTAAAGCAACTCAGCTTTTTGTTGTTGCTGTTTAATTAATAAGCTATATCCATGAAATGACAGGCTTGGTGTGTTTTTTTTTTTTTTAAATACAATTTGAAATAAATGTTGTTAGGTGCTGTCAAGTCGGTTCCGACTCATAGTAACCCTGTGTACAACAGAAGGAAACACTGCCCGGTCCTGAAATAGATAACAACAATTTTTTTGTTTACCTAAAAGTATCTCATGAACTCGAGTTGGGAAATAGTGCATAGTGGAAAGGGTATTCAGCTGGCACACGAGACCCGGGTTTCACCCTAGTCGTCCAGTAACTGCTTTTATCGAGCAAGTTCTTATAACCTCTCTTGAACTCAGTTTGCTCCCCTTTAAATAAGAAGACTGGACACAATGTCCGGGTCAGAACACAAGTGTCCAGACTCCAGGAGTAGCAGGGTGGTCACTGTTACTCCAGGTTAGCTATTGTTGGTGGGTTTCCAATGTCCTCATCTCTTCGAAACCCTGGTGGTGTAGTGGTTAAGAGCTACAGCTGCTAACCAAAAGGTCAGCGGTTTGAATCCACCAGGTGCTTCTTGGACATTCTATGGGGCAGTTCTACTCTGTCCTATAGGGTCGCTAAGAGTCAGAATTGACTTGGCAGCAGTGGGTTTTTGGTTCATCATTTCTGCTAGAATGGTTCTAAGCCTTAGTTGTAAAATATAGTTCTGGGTGATAAAATAGAGCATTGTCATGAGATGCTGACTGGAGAGAAAGCTGGCACAATCTTTCTGCAGCACCATCTGATGGTACCATATATGCAGAAACTCCACACTAGGGAATTTATTGGAAGGAAATACACTGAGATGCTGCCAGATGTTCATGTATAAGGACAGTTACAAGAGCATTTATTACAGGAAAGAATGGTTAACATAGATGTCCAACAAGAGAAAAATGCCTACATAAATAACTGTACTACCTTCATGAAATTACGGATCATTTTTAAGACTGTTCAGTGATGTGTCAACCTGAAGTGAGGAAAAAAAGGTACCTAAGCAATCGTTTAGAATACAGCAATTTTGCAAACACATACAAATGCAATAAAGAGAAAAAGAGAAAGAAAAAAAAGAATGTAAGAAAAGGCAACAAAGGGTTCATTCAAATTCGCTCTGGAGGGGGAGGCAGAATTAGGGAGGATCCTAATTTTCTTTTTTAATAGTTTCGTGACAAATTTTCTTCCTTTATAATCACTGTGCTTTACTTTTACTATCAGAAAACATTAAGTGGTGTTTTTAAAATAAAGGATTATACCTTTCTTTTGGCTCTGATCTTGTGGAAAAAATCCAATCCATTTACAAATATTTGTGGAGAATAGATCCTTACTCCTGAGATACAGAAGATCTATAACAATCCCCAGCCACCTCCCCAAGCAGCGTTTGCTGTTTTCCTTGTTAAAGAACTGCCGGAAAGATTCCAAGAATGGGCAGGGCCCAGGCAAGCTAAACATCTCTCCCAGCATTCCCCTCCTCTCCCTCTCTGGCTTCTTGTTTGGGAGCAGGCGGAAGAGGACAATATGCATGTCATGTGCTAAGAAGCAAAAACAGCACTGTTCCTCAATTTTTTAAAAGAAGTTTATTTAATTGGCTTTTAAATGTATTTTTGTTACAATGTTTTGTGTTTTAACAAATGAATGGATCCCTACCTCTTCAGGGAAGAAGACCTATCCAGGCAGTTGAGCCTAACTCCTCAGTTACTTCTCAAAGAACTCTAAAGGATGTGTTACCCCCTCGTGCTGTGGATAACCTTACCCCAGGCCACTGCAGTACCCAGGACGGCTCACTCTGGCCTTACTACTTCAACTTGTTGCATCAAGAATAAGCAAGTGAACCAACAGTAACCTTTTGAAGTTTAACTATACAAAACACTTTATTATTAAAGATCTATGTGAGAAGAGAATGAAATACAAGTAGTAATGTGCCGAAGACGGTAGGCGCTGAACCAAAGAACTCCAAGAGACAAGCTAAAAACTCCGGACTGATTCTTTTTTTCCTTTAAACGTTGATATTTTTGAAGCAGAAAAGCAAAAACACCTGGGAACAAACTAAATGTCTATCGACAGGGGACTGGTTAAATTAATAATAGTAGATTCAGCAACTAGATACCTATACATTAAGCAGGATGAAATGGACTTCTATGCCTGCAAGTTGAAAAATATCCCAAATATAAAGTGAAAACAGGCTGGTGCAGAATATACATATAAAACCAGAACCAAACCAGTTGCCATCCACTCGATGCTGACTCGTGGCAACCCCATCTGTGCAGAGCAGAACAGTTTTCAATGGCTGTGACCTTTCGGAAGCAGATTGCTAGGCCTTTCTTCGGAGGTGCCTCTGGGTGGGTTCAAACCATTAGCCTTTCAGTTGATAGTTGAGAGCTTAACCATTTGCATCACCCAGGGACTATCTATCTATATATGATCACATATCTGCATAAAATAAATGATACATATGCTTTATATAAATCAACATTTTAGGAGAAAACACTGTTCCCCTCAGAAAAAGCACAGGATGAGGGAGGGTTTTATGCACTCTGTCCTGTTGCCAATCCTTCTACCTCATGCAAGCATTACTTCTATAATTTTTTCTTAAGTAGTTTCAAAATGGGTTCTGTCTGTAGAAAAAGAAGTACAACACTTTTGAAAAAACAACTGATCCACTGTTGACTTTTTTTTAAACAGCCTTCCTAAGATACAATTTACATACCACCAGACTGGCCCATTGTGAAGTGTACAGTTCGTTGACCAGATTTTGTGCTGAGCTACAAGAATTTATTTGGCATGAAACACAAAATCTTTCAGATGACCATGCACAAGATTAACTTTCGCGTTTAAGAAATCTCTGGGGATATCAAAATCAAAGCCAATTTGTGACCTCAACAACCGGAAAGTAATACTCCCTCTTAAGATTATGAGGGAAAGGTCAGAACTACAAGATCCCACAGATCTCAACAACAACGACAAAAAGTAAGAAAAGAAGACTCTAGCAAGTGTAACGACAGCTTTCTAGGTGCAGGGTCACGCGGAGAACAGGCCACAGTTCCCTGTAATCTCAGAAGCGGCTGCGGCCAGGGCACGGTGTGCTTCTCAAACAAAGCCAAGTGGTTTCCTTTAATATCTGAACTTCGAGCGTGTCCTAGCTGCCCAGTGCCTTCCCCCGATGACCCACCCGAAGGTGACCGCGGAGGCCAGAGGTTTCGTCGCGCAGGCGCCCACAGCCCGAGGTCACTCCTCGGAGCGATGGGAATACTGCGCCCATCTGCCGACCTGCACCCCCGGCCCCGCGTCCCCGCGCCTGCATTCCACCGCCCGCACCCCACGATCCGCATTCCCCGCCCACAAAACCTGACCCGGCGGCCGGGCATCGGCAGCCCCCGCCCGGGCCCCCACCTGTGCCCCGCAGCATGTTGTCCCGGAGCAGGTCCCCGCTGGAGAGGTGCTTCAGCTCGAAGTGCTTGATGATGCGCGACGACACGGTGCCCTTGCCTGAGCCGGGGGCCCCCATGATCGCCGCGCGCAGAAGCCGCGCGGATGCCCCCATTCTTGCAGAGAGAAGCCGCTGGAAGGTGGGCCTGAGCCTGGCCTGCGCGCTCTCCCTCCGCTCCCGCCGCCCGCAGCGCGCAGACCTCGGCACTCCCGGAAGTGAGGCGGCAGTCCCGTGCCCCACCCGGCCCGACCCGCGGTCACCGGGTCCCGCGCGCGCCCCC